ATAAAAGAAAATTGATATAATAAAAATTATAACGCAACAAAGAAATTTCAACCACATAAATAAAACAAGTAATTCGTTAAGGGATTGCCTCGTTGATCAAAACATGGTTGTGGCTGTACGAGACTTCTGTTAATTCATGATGAAATAATTGTCTAAATTATTATACGTATTATTTTATATTGTTTCAATGTGAAAGTGTAATAATATGATTTTTAAATGCAGCAAAATAAGTAAAATTTTTACTTTATTCATATACCGTGTCTCAATTGTGCGTTATATCTCCCACTCGTATTAATATATCTAGTCAACGTGAAATTTTAATAATATAATTTTTAAATGCAGTCAAAATAAGAAAAGTTTTTACTTCAGACACATACCATGCATATTCCTTCTCATCTTAACAATATTTAAATATTAAAAAATTTGTTAAAGGCTGAGTTTAATAATATATATATATATATATATAACATATCACACATATACACAAATTAAACTAAACTTATACCGGATCATAAGTAGAAACTAAAGTTGATGTTAAGCTTAAGGTCGTAATTTCCTTTCTATTCTTCCACTTGTAGCCACACATTATTTTGGTTTCCTTTTGGATTTAACAAGAACGCAAATCTTTAAAATATATGAGGTGTTTAAAATTTTATTATTGACATGCTCAATTATAATTCTTACACGTAATAGTTAAGTTAAAAAATTGAACAATTATAAATTGAACAAAAATATATTATATTTTTGGAAGATATTGAAATACATTATTACCCTTTAACTTATTTGAATATAAATAAGCTTCTTAAAGATAATTATAAATGTAGGATTCAGATAAAGTTCTTAAATTTCAAAGAAAGGAGAATGGTAAAAGGAGTGAAATATGGAAGGCAAGACTTTTGAAGAGAGAAGGCGCGTTTTGTACGATAAAAAATGAAGGGACGAAAAAAAGAGTGGTCAGAGGGCAATAAAGTTATAAAAAAGAGAGAAAATGAGTGTGTTCAGAGGACACCCGGAAGACCGGATACATTGTAGTCTTCAATGTGTGATGAAATTTCCCTCACTAAATTAATTTTGTAACTTTCTAAGCACCAGTTCTTCCTTGTAATGAAGTAAAGATATTATCATTTTTTTTTATAAATAATATAAAAATATATATTTGAATATGCATCATCGTCCATTTCAATGTCCCGTTTTTATTCTGGAAGCAACCAAGTAACCAAGTGGTGCTATTGGTTAAACCACCGGTCCCATGCATGCATTATACCCAGTTTTGTACCCAAGTTGCATGGTGAAGTTCGTTGTATTTGTATGGGCGTGTATTATTGACTCAATTTGCACAACTAAATGGAATATTTTTTTAATGCACTGTTAATTAATAGTTAAATTTTATTATAAATTAAAAATGACAACAATATGAAAGAATAATATTAAATGATAAGTGAAGAAAGTCCTATCCACATATTTTTTAATTTTTAATAAATTTTAATTGATAACTAATAATATTTTAAAGAAATTGATTGCAACTTTCTTTCATAGGTAATATTATATGATCCAGAATTGGGAGAATAATGCAACAAATATCAATAAAAAAAGTATTTATAACTATACTGTAATTAAAAAGTATTTTTTTAAAAGTATATATGAAATTTAGAAACGATACACTTTCACGTTATTAGAAAAGTAATAACTCACAATAATTATATCTCAAAGTAATGTTCTTTTAAAAATGTATATTAAGGGATGGTAATGAACATTTACGATATCAATAATAATAATAATAAGCTAGCATGGTTGTTGTACAAGACATTAAAAAAAGGTTTTTCATATAACATTTACAATGGCATCTGAGACCCTTGAAAGTTGGAAGGAGGAAGATTACAGATTTAGGTTTCTTCTCAATTATAAATTGTTAGTGTAGGGATGACCCTCAGTTTAGTTGCACTTTTGGTGTTATATCATTCTGAGTTATTTCTCTTTTTGTTTTCTTGCAGAGAATTGGATTTTACGCAAGACTTATCGCACTAATTGACCAGTGTATAGCGCATCATTGTTGATGAGTATCACATATTGAATAACTTGAGTTGCGTGATCATCGACGAAATAATTTGGGGTGTTGCAAAGATGGGGGGATATTAATTTCTCATTTGGTCTTATATCATTTTCACACCAATGTTTATTGCACATGATGAACTTCTATGCAAGATTCATCGTACCTATTGACCAAGTTTTCAAGTGATAGGAACAATGTAAAGAGAATATGCAATATCATCACTGTTAATCAAAACTTGGATTGTGTGATCATTGACAACATTATTTTGGGTTTTGTCAAGATTCATTGGGTGTGCTTGATTTCTTGAATTGCGTTCCGAATCTTCGGCTCTCCAAGGCGCACACACACAAGAAAGAATGGTAAAGACACGTTAGCGAATATGGGCTTAGAAAATGGGGTAATTGAATTGAATTATATTTAACATAAGAAAACATCAAACAGTGCCCCCATGTTTCATGCAATCTTGTGATTGTGATTGCAAGAGAGAATTTATTTTGGGGAATTTTTCAGATTCTGCTTGAGCATACATTTCCTCGCGCAATGGTCTCGCTTCCCCACAAACCTTGAGGAATGGTCTCAAGATATCATAGCCAAGAAACGTAAATGATCTTCTTGTTATCAACGGACACGCAAACAAATTCATTTCGCCTCTAGAAAAGAGGATTTATTATGTGAGTAATAATGCAATTCTTCCATCAAACAAATGCAATACGCAATTAAATCTGAGTCGTCATCCAATCAAGTTTCATCTCTACTGCCATAAAGTATTTTTAGTAAAATAAAATCAGTTAAAATTTTACAGCATAATTAAAGAAATCATATGGTAATTATGTAATCAGTGATTAAGTTAAAAAGAACTTTTTATAGTTGGGTAAGGGATAGGTGTCGACACTAACATTAGAAAAATGAAATAATTGTTAGGAGCGTAATCATGGGGATATGTAGGGGTTTAAATTGTGTAGGTGATATGAGTTGACATATCAACAAGAAAGCGTCAAGAACTGGTTGACACCACCGCCAGGGGTCTAGAATGATGTAAAGTAGTGATTAACAGCCCCTGGCCTAAATAATAGTCCTCTCTTCAAATGTCATACCACTAACCACATCATCATCCTTACTAGCTTATTTAGTGCATGATTGATTGATTTAACTTGTTTCGAGAATTTATTATTTTTTCTTTTAGTTTTAGATTATTTTAAAAAGAATAAAATATTTTATTCAAAAAATTAAACTGAATTAAATGTGTTATTATTCTTATAATTTCTCCCAAAAACTTATATTAGAGAAAAAGTATTCAATTTCTATAAATTTTACTCCTTAAATGAATAAATATTTTAAATCTTAATTGTCCTTAATTATGACTTACATTTTGTCTTTTATATATATATAATTAAAAAAATCAAAATTTAGATTTTATCTTAATCATTCAAAACTTTTTATAAATGCACATCTATATCTTAACTTTGTTCAAATTAATTCTTAAATCTTACTTTCTATGTTCTAAACAAATAGTTTCTCCTGTTACGTTAAATTTAAATTACTTATCTTAATCAATTATTCATTAGTAACTTTCTGATAATTCACTTTTTCAAATATCAAAACATAATAAAATTTAAATTTAGAAGCAAAAAAGAGAAAATGATTAATTTTTTTAATTCTAAATATAACCAAAAAATAATACATGATTGGGATATTTTCTGTTAGTAAGACTATCCCAACTTAAGAGAAAAAAATTCGTAAAAACGATAAAGTAAAAGAATTAATTAAAATAAAATTACAGATTAAATTATCTACTTACAAGAAAAATAAATTTAAGAATTAATTGAAATGAAAATTAAAATGAAGGGGTATTTATTTATAAAAAGATTATTTGGAACAAAATTAAGTTGAGATGAACCTCGGATGGACTGGTCCAATTCTTGGCCCAATGTTTAATTATTTTATTAGAAATTGCTAAGAGCTTAATTGGTTTTCAATTGAAAACCGTGAGACTCGATTTCCCGAGAATTGAAAAGAATCAATGCAACAATTCAATCTGCGAATGATATTTAACCGTTGATCTCAATTTTTCAATCTTCCTCACACTTGTTGAACGCACAATCAATAATCTGTCATATGGGAATTTTTCTTCCTTTCTCTAATGTAAATTAATATTTGTATCACAGAAATTCTTTTGATATTTGTTGTTTCCCTTACTCTCTGCTCTACACTTGCAAGCATCAAAATCATACATTTAAATAAGTGACAACAATTTTTGTTTTCACAACTTAAATCATTCGCACCTCCATTTATTGTAGTTATGCCCCACAACGTGCACACAAAAAAATCTCACATTTAGGACAAGTCATTTCCCTGGAAAATTTACACAACTTAAATCATTAACACCTCTTTATTTATTTTGGTTATGTCCCAAAACGTGTAAAAAAGAAATCTCACATTTCCCTGAAAAGATCATGTCACGTATGAGCATCTTAGCTTGTGCTTACTAGCAAAGGATTAAGTGTGTAATTAAAAACAAATTAAAAAATCTATAAATACAAAAGATATAACTTGTACACGTAAAATTATGTCCTTTTAGCATTGAAGTGGGTGTATAGAATTGTTTTAAATGTGCAGTAAACATGCATTAATTGGATGTTACAATATGGAACTTACACGTTAATGTGAAAATGTAACATGTAATCAACCAACCGCAAAGTGAACATAAATTCATGGTCCTCTAATGTGAATCTAAATACGTACTTAAACATGAATTCAGAAAAGCTATGAGCCGAGTTTCCAATAAGAAGTAAATAGAAAACGAATCAAGAAGAGGCAATTCTTAGAAGTCTTAAAACCGCGTGAAAACATTCAAAAGAATAACAATGTCTTAATACCTAGAGGCACCATGCAAAGGTCCGAGGAAGTGAAAGTGACACAAGGAGCCCAGACAAGAGCCTTACACACACATATATAAATGCATAATTACATGTAACGGTAACAAGTGCATTCAGCAATTCAGATTTTAGTTTGAAAATGGTATACAGTCATTTACAAGAGGGCAAAAACAAAAGGATTGCCTTAACGTTTGAAATTACAATGGGAGAACAAACTTGTGTTTGATCTTTTAATCTTCTCTGCACAAACTATACATTAAAAGCCTTTCAAGAGTTAAAATGTAACATTGAAATATAAACAAACTTAAAGGCAGTTTCAGCAATTTAACCTCTCAAGTTTCAACCATACATCCCTTCACGCTCCCAAACATCCACAAGGAATTCCACCATCTCCTATATTTTGAAAATCAAATTATTCAATTAGTAATTTTGCATTCTCACCTCAAAAATCCCAGCAAGGAACTAAAAATATACACAGGACACTTACATATAAAGGTAAGGGCTTAGGGAAAGGTTGTCTAGTCCCAAGCAAACTTTCATAAGTAGCATTACAACTACAACAAATACAATTATAAATAAGTCATCTAAAGGGGAGAAATTGAGAAAAGCAAAGGGAAAGCACATATGATAGATAGAGACTTGAGCTTGTATAAAGCCATATAAACAGAAAAAATATCAATAAAATTTGAATAATTATGTGCTTCAAAAGCTAAAAATATGCCTTATGCTTTGCTTTCAACTATTGTGAAATTGCATAAACAAGAAAGAAAGATTGGAAAAAAAATAAAACAACTACAGGAGCAAAAAAGGAGGAGACTGTATTAAGCTCTCAGTATCCAACATAAAACTTGTCAAAATTCATACATGGATCACTCAAGACAAGTTGGTGTCTAGGAGAAAAAGGTAAATGTTATACAGTTTAGCACTGAATCAGGACGTGTTTGCATATGGTTATAAAAGGAGGTTAATAAAGAGCAAGGCAATAAAAACTTCTGACGGCTATTAATTACTCCACCCATGATTACATCCCCCCCCTTCCCCCCCAACAAAAAAAAAAACGACAGGAAATAATGAAAAGAGAAAATAGATCTAACCAAGATCATGCCCCTATTTGTATTTGAAATGGATTAAAGAGTATTTAATCAGTTGGACTAAATGTAATGCAGTTGACATACTTTAGTTTGGGTTCTCGTTTTTGTTGGCTTTGCTTCCTAGATTTGCCACTTCCAATCCACTGAAGCCTGCTTTCATTCCAGAGAAGAAGACCTGCAAAAGCAACAGCTGGATGAATGATAGAAATGACCTTAACCTTCATTATCCCCTTAAAGCAAGGAAATTGGGAAAGTAAATCTTACAAATAATAAACAACAGTATACAGTAAAAATTAGTACTACAACAATGAAAGCATCCAAATCCAAATATCGAACAAAGACAAAACCAAGTTAAAATATCACATTTCATGTGCCAACACCTTTGTGGAGTAAACCTTGGTTACTGACGGACCTGAAGGGACGGGGCATTGTTATATTACCGAAAAAAAACTCATGCTAACAGTAAAGATGAAAAATCCAACATTAATTTCTAGGAAGAAAAACAAAAGCCAGTATATAGAACTTGCCTTGGTTTACAAATTCAGTATTGGTGCCTGCAGTAGAAGTTCCACTGCTCTGATTGAGAAGTTGATTTAATGTACTGACAGATGAGATACTTCTCTGAGATTGAATGGTGCTGTTATCCAGATCACAAGTGCTTGAACTCCAGAAACCATCTGATATATTTGGTTTTCTCACTGTCTGCCCCTGAATTCTTAGTCCCTTGGCCGGCTCATCCACAGCAATAATTGGTGTGGGTTTCATACAGCATCCAAAACAACCACTGTTCTGTTATAAAACAAGTTAAATAAAAGCAAAACATTGGCCAATTTGAAGTCTACAAGTGCATGTTGCCCTTGTGGTGATTTTCTTACTCAGATTTGTTTCCTTAGAAAGCACTATTATAATAGCATAATTAGAAAAAAAAAAAACTTTCTTTTAAAAATATTAATGCTTCCTAGGGTAAGCACCAATTTCTTGCCTCTCTTTAATAGCAGATTTTTCGCTTTTCTAGTTATTTAAAAGAATTTTGCAGCCCAAACAGTGAACACCTCAACAAATTAAAATGCCTTTTTTCCACCCTAAATTGCAATTTCTATTGATTTCACAGCACAAACAAAAAATCTTTAAAACCAGGAGAAATTGTTACACAACCAATATTGTCGATTTTTAACAACAGCATTGCTATGCATTGACATCATCTCCTCCTTTGTTCATCTAAGCCCATAAATTTTCGTTTTTATTGTCTTAGGAGTATATTAAGGTTAAGGTTGGCTCTCTCTAGCAGACTGTAACAACAAATACTACAAGACTGGAATTAAATATATAACTAAGGAGTGCTACAGGTAGAAATCAACTCTTCTATATTAAGTTATTCACATGTCAATCAAATACATCCACTAATCATTGAAGCTCCAAAATCAACCATATGTTGGAGTCTGATGCTCAGCCAGCAAATAAAGAAATGTATTTTCTCTTCTTCCACGCCTCATTTAATCATTCACTGGGAGATAAAATAATTATTATATCGCTAAGGAATCTTGGTCCATTTTTTATTGGTAAAGCACATGATCAAATAATCATGGGCCAACTCCTTACAGTAGACATCAAACCATGCACCAACAAGGATGAAAAAAAAGCATCCCATGGTTAATAGCAAATACTTTGTTTGGTCCAAATTTATTATGCCTAATTGCATTGTTTGCGCAGCAAAACCTGAAAACCTAACTTTGCTTCTCAAGATGAAAACTTTAGCCTCAAATTTCAACCCTCCAAACCCTATCTTACACAATACAAGTCAACAATTGAAAGATAAAGGCAAAACAGTCCCAATTGATACCAGACCAGCATTTACCAAAAAACTGGCTTATTCATCAGCAAATTTTGCACAAGAGAGACCAAATTTCCAAAAAAGGAAATTCCTTCATTGAATTCAAATAAAGGAAGCAAATTGATTGCAAAAACTGGTGTATCTATCCATCTACCCAAAAAATAGTAATATTGGGAATAGAGGGGCTCACCCCATACAGGCGAAAAGGTCAGTGATCCAAGCAGTAATCGTCACCATCTCGACCACCACATAGATTTTCTCAAACGCAAGATGCTGCAAAGAGCAAAATCAAAGGGAAGTTTCAGAGTGAAAAACTGGTTAATGGGTCTTTGAGGTTGCTAACCTTTTTATTTTATCGTGTCTGCTGCACTACTGTCACTGTCTGTCGTTTAATGGACGCTCAACACACCGTTATAAAACTCCCACTTCATTTCTTTTATATTTATAAATAATAAATGATAGGAGCGTCGTTTATGTCAATACGCAAGAAAGTAAAGGTTTTTGTAGTCAAATGAAGATCAACTATTCAACCGTGCAGTGGTAATGCCAATTATTGGGTCTTACTCTGACAAATACCTAAGACCGTGATATTGCCACCTGGCACCTGATTAACTCACCTGTCCCATTAATACTCTGTTGCCTACGCTATCATTATTTCAACATTAAATAATTAAGACTCTATTTAATAATGTCTATAATTATCTTTATAAATTCATAAATATTTTTTTATTGTTACAATTCGGGCTTTTTTGCCCTTGTACGGTTAATTTGAAAAGAAAATGCCAAAATAAGGCTGCATTCAAAGATATTTTTTGTCTGAGGTTGGAGTGACAGGTGGCAGTCGTTCAGCGTAAGGGCGATACTCAAATAGAAAGCGTCCACTTATTAGACGACACAGGTGAAGTCATCCAAAAGAGGGACGACACACGTCTAACGTGGCGACCTATGACAGTGTCGTCCCTAATTGAGCCGACACAGCTTGTGTCGTTATATATTGAACGATTTTAATGTAGTCCACAACAGAGGCGATTTTAATGATACCTCGGGTAAAAAATTTCGTCTTTGTCCAAGTTAAAATGTGTATATATAGTAGGATGAAGCTCGAAAGAAAATGCAAGTAGCAAGAATAAAGTGTGGAGCTGGGCAGGAATACCAGTGAGCAGCTGGGAAAAAATAACAGTGTGAAGCTGGACAAGAAATAATAACTATTGAGCAATCAGGTTAGATTTTAAGTATTATAAATATATAATTTATTTTTAATAGTTATGTAGAAATTTTAATTTGAATAATAATATATAATTTATATTTTTAATGGCTTTTAAATATTAATGTTGTAATTTAATTTTTGTTGTTATGTTTGGAAATAAGGCAGATAACATATAATGTAAAAAATTAAATATTTAAATATTTGTAATTACAAATAAATTTAAAAATATATTTTGTTATATTATAAATTAATTTATAAATAAGCTTAGTTTATTTTAAATGCAGGATGAATGAAATTGTTGTTATATTATATTCAAATGGTAGAATATATGAAGGAAATGAGGGTATAATTTTTGAAGGGCAAAAAAAGATGATTAAGATAGAACGTGGGATCACATTTGAGATGTTTAAACAGAAGATCCACACAAAGCTGAAATTGTCAAGTTGTCACGTAATTTCTAGATTAATTTCTTGAATTTTAGTTGGGACAAATGGTCGATATCATACAACTTTAGATGTATGTGACGATGAAGACATAGATTGCATGATAAGTGCGTGTCAACAACCACATCATAGGAATGTAGTTGAGATATATGTGGATGTTGCGATAGGTGAAACATCTTCTGTTGTGGCACGTCCATTAGAAGTGAATTTATCAGTCTCACAACTTCATGGAAGTGATGATGATGATGATGATGATGATGATTATGCACAAAGAGAAGGTAATATGAATTTAATAATTTTTAAATTTGAAAAATTGATGCTACAAATGCTATTAATAATATAAGTTTACAATGTACAGATGAAGATGATGAATATGAAAATGAAGAAAATATTTCATTAAATGATTTTTCTAATACTGAGACAGATGATGATTGTGATTCAATGATCAATATGGAGGGTATTGTAAGAGTTAGTTTACCGCAACAACAACATGGAGGTATGTTTTTTGTAGAACTTATAGTTGTATAAATTGTTATTCATGGTATAAAATTGACGAATGAATTGTTGTAATGCAGAAACTACATTGCCCTTTTGGAATATAACCCCACATTACAGTCATATTAATTGGGAACACCCTGATGAAGAATTAGATTTTTTTGGAATGAATGAAGCGCAATCATGGAAGGAAGGAGATGCATTATATGTTGGACAACTATTTGATACTAAAGAAGATGTAAGAATGGATATAAAACATTATGCCATGAGGAAGCATCAAACTTTTTCTGTGGTGGAGTCAAAAGTAACAACATATGTTGTGAAGTGTGTCAATCACAATAGTGAATATCTTTAGAGAGTTCGAGCATCATTGCCAAAAAATGCAGACAAGTGGAAAATTATAAAGTGGGGTGGTGCCCATACGTGCGTAAATACTTCAATCTCTCAAGACCACCAAAAGTTGGATTCCAAATTTATTTGCTCATGTATTCTTGGTATGTTAAATTTAATATTAAATTAGAGAAATTTGAAATAGGAAAAATTTACCAATTTTCACCGTATTACATCCCAACAAATTTAATAATTAGCTCTTAACATATGACATGCAGGTATGGTAAAAGAAGAACCATCAGTGCCTATTTCGTTAATTCAAGAGAGAATTAGTGGTCAATTTGGATATTCAATTTCATATAAGAAGGCATGGAAAGCAAAACAAAAAGCAATTGTTACTGTATTTGGTGATTGGGACGAATCTTATGCTGCATTGCCAAGGTGGCTAGAGTACATGCAATTATATGCTCCTGGATCTGTATACAAAATTGAAACAACTGATTATATTGAAGGTCACACCGTGGATAATAAATATCGAGTTTTTCATCGGTTGTATTGGTCGTTCAAGCAATGTCATGAAGCTTTCAACTTTTGTAAGTCTATAATACAGTTAGATGAAACATTTTTGTACGGTAAGTACCGACAAACTTTGCTAATTGTTACGACTCAAGATGGAAACAACTGTGTGCTTTTTATTGCGTTTGCCATTGTCGAAGGAGAAACCTTATCTGCATGGGAATGGTTTTTAGCCATGATTCGTATACATGTGACAAATAAGGCAGGGCTATGTTTGATCTCAGATCGACATCAAAGTATAAAAGGTGCAGTCTCTAACCCACATCTAGGTTGGCAACCTCCAAATGCTTATCATGTTTATTGCATTCGTCACATTGCAAGCAATTTCAATCGACGATTCAAAAATACCATGTTGAAGAAAAAACTAATTCAATTAGGTACGTGATCTTCGTATTTGATTCATTTAACCTTTAATATATCAAGAATATATTTAACCTATGCATTAAAATTTTTTCTGTTAAATGCAGCATATACACCATCAAAACATATTTTTGAATCTAAGCTTAATATGTTTCGATCACAATCACCTGAAATTCAGAGTTGGATAGATAATATATCCAAGGAAAAGTGAAGCTTGGCTTATGATGATGAAGGACGTCGTTATGGCCACATGACAACAAATTTGTCTGAGTCCGTAAATAAAATTTTGAAAGGGGCAAGAAACCTTCCTATTACTGCCTTGGTCAAAGCTACGTATGCACGGTTAGTAGAATATTTTGTGAAGCGTGGTGAAACCGCAATGCATGAGGTTAACAATGGAGGAAGATACTGTCAAAAATTAATGGAAGCTATGGAAAAAAATCAACAAGAAGCATCTTCACATCAAGTTCGGCGGTATGACATACAAAGAACAAAGTTTGAGGTTGAGGAGGCATTTAATCCAGTGACACAAAGGGGTGGTCATAAGTGGACAATCATATTGTCCACACGTTATTGTCAATGCGGAAAATTTAAGGCATTCCGATATCCATACTCACATGTCATAGCTGTAGTAAACAAGATCCAGTCACGTTTCAGATGATCGAACTTATATCTGTAGTAAGCAAGATCTCTCTTTCCTCTATTATAACTCCGACTCACTAACCACCTGAAAGACACACTTATAAATTAAGTATCATGGTGAAACAAGTTTGAAAAGTAATTCATAAATTACACATACAGAAATTCAAAACATACCGTGCACCGTAAGGAAAATCCAGTCGTGTGTGCTGAGGATTATTAGGCTGTAAAAATGGAAACCTATCCCATGCTCACATCATAAGTAGTGGGGTTAATCCTCCAATACCAGAACGGTCAATATTGGTCGACATGCATAACTCCCGGTATAGAAATGCCAATGTTGCCGCTCCCCAACTATACTCTCCTATGATAGTAAAATCCTCAAGCAATGGAAGGTACCTAACTGGAACCCTACTAGAGGAATGATCAGCCAACATGAAACCACCTATTAACCTCAGAATATAAGCTCGAGCAAAGCGAGTAAGCTGAAGTTCATTATGATTATGCATTGCAACATGAGTAAAGTGTTGGTCCAACCAACTCAACTTCAAATTGCTCCCTGCAAATGCATCATCAGGTGGCCTAATACCAAGCAAATCCTCCACAATTTATGCTTTATTATCTCCAACAGCTGCAATGACTGCCTTTCCATCTATACGAAACCCTATTTGAATAGCAATGTCCTGAAGAGTTATAGTACATGCTCTAGGAGACATGTGAAACGTATGAGTCTCTGGCCTCCATCTTTCTACCAATGCTGTAATAAGATGTCGGTCAATAGGAAAGCATGCCAACTGAGCTACCCCAACAAATCCAGCTAAGGTCAGATGAGGAAGAATCTCCATTGGAACCCCTTCCATGCCAGCTGATATGAAATGACTCCTTCTCACCTTCAGAATTGGGTGCTCACGTCTATCCCAAATATGCTCTGATACGTGAATAGACTGAAACCTTAATAATGAACCATCCTCCGGCCCAGGATTTAAAACCCTATTCCGCGATGAAGATGATGCCATCTGAAATGAAATTTGTCAACTTAACTTCAATTATGTATGTTAAAATTAATAATATGAAAAACTCTATTCAATTAGTACATGGGTTTTATTACAATTTCAAAATTTAAAAATAACTCTAAAATTTATTTCATTTAATTATTATATTGTTAAATTTTATTAACATTTTAAAAACTTTTACATTTTATTTTACAATTATAATATGTAGCAATAAATATAATTACATGCACTCTTTTAAATATCAAAATTTACAATTACAACAAATAAACAAATACATTATTTTAAATATTATATATAATTTTTAATATACTTTTTTCTTTCTGTAATTCAACCACAAAATTATTATTTTCTTAATTTCATTAAAGTGTTCCCTCACAATACTTAAAGTTTACTCCTATTTAAAGTTTAATTTCATTTTTATATTAATTTTTCCAAATTTTAAACGATTCAATAATTATGTTGGACAAGAAATAATAAAAAAAACATTGTTTCTAAAATTTTGTACAATTTTTTTATGTTAAGGGTTGGCAAAAAAAAAATGTAAAGATGTTTTATTTTTTGGATTATAAGGAATATTAGTTTTGACAATAGTTCTCACAAGTTATCAAGTAATATATAGTATTTTTTTCTCTTAATTTATTAATTAATTAAAATAGAAATTCTTTAATATCATAATTAATACATATTATTGATTACATTTTTAAACAACTAATTATAAATAATAACACATATATTATGTAATTTGTAATAATAAAACTTCTGTTATGTTAATTTTCATAAAATTATTATTATCTTCATTTATTATAATTATTCAATAATTACATTGTATTTACTATATCTAATATTTTTAATTCCACAAATTTTTTTATATATCAATCTACTATCAAATAATTAAAATATATTATTTCTTCTACATTAATTATTTAATATTTTCAGTGCATTCTATATATATTTTTTCGTGTTCATGTTTTTTATTTTTTACAAAACTATATATTAATATATAGTATTCTTTCCTCTTAATTTATCAAGTTATTATGTGCAGAATTTTTTTAATTTAATAATTAATACATATTATGTATTTATCAAGCTATTATCTGCATAATTTTTTTTAATTTAATAATTAATACATATTATGGATGGCTATAATTTTTATTTATTACATTTTTTAACAAATGATTATAAATAATAACACATACATTATATAATTTTTAATTTCATTCCTATCTAAAATATTCTTTGTTTAAGAATAAAATGCATTTTAAAACCAATTTTATACCTTATTTATAAAATCCTTTCAAGTAAATCACATAAATTATAAAATTTGTAAAAGATAATAATGTATTATTTTTTATCAAATTAAATACTACATTCTTACTAATAATAAAACTTCTGTTATGTTTATTTTCATCAAATTATTATTATATTTATTTATTATAATTATTCAATCATTATCTTATTTCTTAATAATTATATTAAATTTACTATATCTAATAATTTTTATTTCACTAATTTCTTTATATATCAATCTACTATCAAATAATTTACAATTATTATTTCTTCTACACTACTTATTTAATATTTTCACTGCATTCTGTATATATTTTTTCATGTTCATGTTTTTTATTTTTTTTCTAAACAATATATTTATATATATTATTCTTTCCTCTTAATTTATCAAGTTATTAAAATATTATTTTATTTTAAATTTTATAATTAATATATTTTATGGATTACTATAATTTTTTTTTACATTTCTGAACTACTAATTATAATAAATAATAACATATATATTATATATTTTCTAATATAATTTATCTAATATATTATTTGTGACAGAATAAAAAAATTGATTAATAAATTCTTTAAATATTAAAATAAAAAACTTGTGCACCTCCGTAGCTTTGTAAACAAGTTTGAAGGAACCTTCTTCTTCACCAGCACCCTTCACTCACGAGCATCCACCCACAATTTCACCTGCATCACAGATTCAATATTACATACATTTGCAATTTTATTGTTAAAAAGCAAAATCTATTCAAAATATTAATCTCAATACCTTTTTAATAATCTTTTGCTATAAAACCTTAATACCAGAATCTAACAAAATGGTTCAGAAACGCAAGAAATGATGTGTTGTTTTTTTCTCCGGCAACCACATTCTGCAAGCGAAACGGAGAAGATGGAGGAGAAGGGAGAGGCCCGCGCCCAAACGGTCAAAATTCTCTACCACGTGGACCAATTAAATTAGTGTCGTCCCTGACCAAGACGACACTACTGAATCGTCCCTGACACGACCGACATTAATGTCGCCTCTGACTCAGACGACTCTGTAGGATTTGTACATGTGGCTTAGTTCATCCCCAGCTGTCCATTCAAATTAGTGTCGTTTGGTAATTGGACGTTTCTATTTTTTGGTGTCGTTCGTCTCATGGACGACTTCACTGCCACGTGCCCACACAACCCCAGACACGGAATTTCTTTACATATTCTGGCATTTTCTTTTCAAATTAACCCTAAAAGGGTAAAAAATCCTTACAATTCGTGGCGGATATTAATTGAAATTTATTGAATATGTTATTTTTCAAATTTCTTATCCAAATTCTTAAAAAAAAATATTAACAAGTACCTTTCAAATATTAAGAAATACAAATATTATCAATATTTTTATCATATTTTTAATAAAAATTATTAATTTCTCAACTAATATCTTTAAGATATTTAATGAAAACTTAGTATTAGTATAATATACAAAATTAAGTATAGAATTAGACGTTAAAATTAAAATTAAACTTTAAAATTTTAATTATTATGTTTAGATGGATATTTGAAATTGAGATTATAATTTTATTCATAAATTATATGAAATTTTATAACAACTAAATTTGGTTCACTCCAATTTCTAACATATATTATAAGAATTTAAATTCCTAATATCATTAATCACAAATACATTCTTATGTTAATTATTAATACTACTTTTTTTTTCTATATTTTCTTTTATTTATTTATTCTTTTGTTCTTCATTTTACACTAATTATTAATAAAAAGTAATTTTTCTCTATTCTGCTTTCTCTTATTCTTCCTATTTTATCTTTAAGTCTTTTTTTATATTTGTTTTATATTTTTCTTTTACGTCTTCTTCTTTTTTCTTTTTTATATTTATTACATATTTAATATATTTATGTTATTATGTTATATTACTATTTTGCACTTTTAACACCTGTTGTAAATTATATTATTTATATTAATTGTATAATAAATTATTTAATATTTTTCTTAAAATATTAGATGTCAAAGTAAATATTAAAAATTAATTCAAGAAATATTGAGAGTACAAGAGAAATTAAAAAAAAAAAAAAAAACTAATGTTAGATGCAACAGAATAATAAAGACACTCTAAAAGTATATTTTTGAAGCATTATATCACGAGACTGATAAAAATTGCTATAATTAACTATGTCTTATCATATAAGTGTAGAAGAATTAGTTGTAATATTTTTACTTATTTTAGTTCATGGTCTCAAAAGTATTTATATTTAATTTATATTTTTAATTTTGAGAATTAAATTATATTTATGAGCATTCTTATATTTTCATCTAATTAAGAGAAAGATAATTTGTAATATAATATTAAATTTTAATAATAAAATAAATATAAGAAATAAATTTACTATGTCATAATTTTTGAAAAAAATATTAAATTATTATATTTAATAATTTATTTAATAATTATTTTATATTTTTAATTAACACATTATTTTTTTAAAAAAATTTAAAATTTTTTTAATATAAAATTGAATTGTTTTTTAAAAATTAGATCTTACATAACGCTATAAAATTTGATTTCAATTTAAAATTCTAATTCTTTAAATTATTGTATTTATTTATTTATATTTTTTTAATTCTTTCTTGTCAAGTCTGCCATTTGTTACAACAATCTTTCTATGAAATTTTGACAAAAAGATTTGCTTATGTTTCTTTGGTGAAATAATAAGTTTTAAAAAATAAACGGAAATTCCTGTAAAAATAAATCATGGGTGGATATCAATTTACAGTTTTGTGGAGAAATTAGTTTTCGTATTATTTAACTATTTCTATTTTATGTACATGCATCGCAAATATACTCTATCAAAGTTAAAGGCAATAACAGAAGTAATCTCATTTTAATTGTATAAAAATATAGGCCAAGCAAACATAAATTTAGATACTTGGACCTTAAATAGATCCCTGAATTCTAAAAGGATTCAATAATTTGACTCTCTTGGACTTTGTCGTCAATTTCTATCTCCATACATGATTCTCATAGTAAAAATTCGTGTAATTTTGTTAAATTAATCCTTAAAATTATAAGTACCAGCCAATTTTATTTCTTAGATTACAAAACATTAGTTTGGTTCCGAAAATTATCAAACAACAATTATTTTAGTTTTTGTTGTTATAATTTTTAAAAGCTAGATTCAAAGTTATTTTGTAATTTTAAAGATGAAATGACTGTTGTTTGTCAAATTTAGAGATTAAAATGATATTTTATAATTTTAAAGATTAATTTAAGTTGTACTCTAATTTGATGTATTGTTACTATAATTCATTCATTCTCTGCTAGTGTTTTTCTTTTGTTCTTTCTTGGTCAATCTGCTCTCGCCCATATTGTTTCTAACTGTTTCAATGCAATTGGGCTCAGTGGTTTTTATGTAATTTCGCGATACCTATTCTGGGCCTGTAGTGTTCATTTTCCCACCTTGGGCGTTAAAAGAGCAATTGAGCTCAGCCGAAGGAACTCTGCAAACAAATATTCACACCACAGGGACGTTGACCAAAAAAAAAAAAAAAACTCCATAGGGACCAAAAACAATTTCCTTTTAGTAGATAGGATTCCCTAGTTCAAAAAAAATATTAAACAATTAATACACTTACGTGCCCAATCATAAAAAAAATTAAGACACCAATCAACAATTAGATAATTTAACTAAATTGTCATTTGAATTATGATCACTAACCAAAAACAGTTCCCCAATTTTGAAAATATACCAAATAAGAGTCATCATACTATTTCCCTTGAAAGGGAATTTTTCTAAAATATTCTGAAAATAATCCTCTCCTTACTTGCTCAATCTTTTTAATTTTGTAAAATTAATTTTAGTTAAATGTAAGTTTGGAGTGAAGTAAACTTGATACAAGTAATATTATTTAAATATTTTGATAAAAAAATATCAAATAAAAAATATATGTAAATATCGTTAATGAATATGTAATATTAAATTATGAAGATATTTTTATCAATATATGTATGCGAAGAGTTTTTTTCACCACAGAAGTAACAAAATGTTAGCTAGTCAAAACCATTTTTTTAAAGATAAATTTAATTCTGTGAAATTTTATTAAACTCGTTGACACACTTTTTCTAACATGATTGGGTCCTCTAATGATGAGTTTCGTATTTTATTTTTTATAGTTTCTTAGAATTAGGATGTAATTTTGTAGATTACTGTATTAGAAAAGGTATATTGATATGATGGGTTGAGAATATATGTAGTTACGTTTAATGTGAAAAATTTTGTGATATTTTTTCTCAATCTTCTTAAAGTGGTGTTGATTCTTTTTTTCATCTTTACTTTTTGTTGTAGGATCATTTAAAAGGTTAAATGCTTAAAAGATTGAATAAGTCAACTCATGTGGGCGTGCAAGGTTTTCACATGGCTGCAACGAGGAAATAGAGTTTAGAAGTGTATTCTGGACCAAACAAGATCCTTAGGAAGGGATGGATTTCATCCCAATTTCTTGTACAAAATGATTATCCCATCTCAATCTTATTTTTTTCTTAATTGCGTGATTTTTTCTATATTTTATGTTTCTCAAAAATTAACTGGCTACATCTCAATCTTACTTTTCTTAATTGCGTGATTTTTTTCTATATTTTGTGCTTCTAAAAAATTAACTAGCAAATCTAGACTCAATTTTAAAATTGAAAAATCAGTTCTTCAATTAAACCTTAAACTGAGTCACCTTACTTGCTTAAAACTTTCAGAATAAGACTACTTGATAAAGAGATATTTTAAATCCCCCTTACCTAATGTTGTTTCATTTAAATTCACCGAGGGTATTAAGATTCGTGAATTGAACAAAGGAGTTAGATATCAAGAAATAAAATCAAAACCTAATTGAGATTTTTTTTAACAAGAGACATATAAATTGAATCGAGGGAAAATTTTGATTACATAAGAAAAATAAAATAATTCCAAACCTAACATTTAATAACCATTATTTTCTAAATCTTGAGTGATACTATTTTTTATCCTTTTGCATATAAAAATATTGTAAGTTTCACATTTTAATACAATAAAAACCATTCTTTCTATCCAATTCATGATTCAAATAGTAGCAACACTGAAAAATTAGTAATTCAATATCATGAAAAAGATATTCTATTCATCCTTTATTACTTAAAATATTTAATACACTTGCAAAATTTCATCAACACATAACAATACATTGCAAAAAGTTATCGTCTATGGCTCAAGGGATAAGGATAGAGGTCTAAAGAAGGTGAAGTGTATCAATCACTTAACAGTGAACACCAAACATACCACAAGGTTACATTCTGTTGATCATATTCTTGAAGGAGAAACAAAATCCTTGAAGCATACCAAATACGGTGAGGAATAAATAATTTTGAGACAACTTCATCAACCAATATAAAGTATGAAGAATGCAGGCCAGAGGCCTTAATCCAGAACCGTTGATTATCAATTTCTTCACACATATTCCTTGTAATATCTGGATTTAAGGTTACTGATTATTTTTACTACTTCATGGACAGAATAGATGCCAGGCCCACCCTCCATCCATACAACATAGACAAGCTGTGCCTTTTTGGAATAATAGAAGCCAGACCTGTGCCCAAAACATGAGTAGGTCTAATTACCTGGTTGGAGCCGCTTATGGACCTGAATTGAGTTCACATTTCAGCAATCAAGTTACTGGAATTCAATAGGCATTAAGAGTAGATGAAACAAAAATCATTAGGGCAGCGTTTGGATAATCACAAGTTAATATAGCAAATTAAAATAAATTTGTCATCTCCGTGACACAGTGAAATTGAACAAAGTAGAAGAAAATTTCATGCTGATCAACAATAGTATTTGCACTAGGGTTTATCCATGGCAAATGGAATTTAGGAGAAAATTGCAAGAAAAATTCTGGTAATAACTCTTTTTAGTACTCTCTTCAACACTACGGTATCAGCTAAATTGCATGTGCGCCCTACTAAATAAAGTGCAAAACCAGGTTATTTAACACTGTTTGCTATAAAGTTACAAAATCAATTCTCGCCCTTTCAATTGAAAAATACACATTCCAATATGCACGTATTTCAATCACATTCAACGGCCCAAAATCAATTCAACTAAATTATAAACGAAACGGCCCCAAATGGGACCAACATGTAATTCACTCATCAATAAAGACTAAAGAGTGCATCCAATATAGTCTTATAAAAAACTGTATTGCCAACATTCCTCTTGCAAGAAAAGCAAGACGAAGTCAAAATATGATATCCCGAAAAATCAACAGCTAGTATTGGTTGTACAAATCATCCATGCCAAACAGTAATTAAGAACCAGGAAAAAAGAACGCATACATGGGATTAGATGGAGCTTCACTTGCCGATGTTGACATGCCTTGTCGTTGCTTGTGCTTAGGGTTGGCTGAGCACAACACATAGACACGCCCTCGACGTTTAACTGTCCGACAAAATTCACACATCTTCTTCACAGATGACCGCACCTTCATGATTTCTGAAGAAGGAAAAACCAACAAGCTGCGATAAACATTCAGAAACATACTACACTAGACCTTGCAACGGTATATAAATAAAATATTCCATAACCAGCATAACAAAATCTAGCAATTGAATTAAGAATATAGCTAGCAAAATAGTTAGTGTTGATATCCAAGCTGTGTTGAATTCTAATATAATTGTGCAAAGAGGAAAGAAGATACAGTGGCAGCAAATCAAATCACGTGTATTTCTAATTTAAATCCCTAATCGATATATAATGCAGAATTGCAAATCAGTAAAGGTGTGTCCAGGTGTAAATAAAGCCGTTCTTAATCTGATGTATAAATAACAAAATTTCAGCGAGAACCGAAACGAAACAAAGAAAATGGATCCTCGAACATTGAAATAATTCAACTAAAACAACAGAAATGAAATTTAACAAAAATGAAAAGACGTGAAAATGACGAACCTTGTGTTCACACGGGGTGTGAGAGGTAAAGAGCGAGCGTAAACGGCAACTGAAACAGCTGCGTTCGCGTAGATGGCGAAGCAGAATCGAGGATTTGGAGCAGAGTAACAGAGCAAGTGGGTTTTAGGGTTAGATTTGGCCCACTAAGTGTGATTGGATTATAGTGGATGTACGGACAGGCCCGTCACTGAAGGCCCTCCCCCCTCCAAAAGAAATGACTATTTCCTGCTACTACGATTATTTCAATTAGAAGACAAAAAATATCATTATTTCAATTAAAAATATATTGATTTCTAATCATTATATACTTTTACTAATAAATATACATTTTAAAATCAAAGAGGTTGGTAGCTTACAAATCAATTGGCACTGCAAGCTTTAAAAGTTGTTTAGGAACGAGAGTTTTTTTAAAAAAAAAAGAAGAAAAGACAAAATGTATATTTAAAATTAATAATTTTTAAAAAATATATATAAATTAATATATTAAGAAAAATTTAATTTATTAATAATATATTTATCATAATAAATAATATATAATTTTTTAATTTAAAATTAAAAAGTATATCTTTCTTTTATTTTTTTCTCCAAAAATCTTCTTCCAAACATAACAAAGAAACATAAATAAAAAAATAAAAAGCAACCTTGGTATGCATCCAATCACATAGAGTCATCTAGAAAGTAGGAAAGTCATGCTGAGCAATTGGAAAAAATAAACGGCAGAGTTGGATAAATTATTTTATCCGGGACCATGTAATCCAGCCATTCATGATTAAGATATGTGTTAATTTTTGAAAAAAATTTTAATGTGTCATTTTTTATTATTCGGATAATCGGATTATTCAATTTTTTACAAAATTAAATATTTTTTAAATATAATATTTAAAAATTTATAATAAATATAAAAATTATGAAAATATAAGAATAGTAATTTGTAATAAAAATAATGAATTTATTAGAATTTAAAATTAACTTATTTTATTTAAAAAATTGTCAAGTTTTACACTTTTCCATAGTTTATTAAAAATCTGATATTTTTATAGATAATATTTTCAAATAAATTAATTTTCTGCAATTGAAAAGGTGGTGGATAAAGGTAAGAATGCTTAGTTTAATGAATTAGGTATAACAGCCAATGGTTTAGGAACAGCTTAATGAAACTAATGAACTTGTGAGCAACTTTCTAATGTGGGCCCTCTCCCACTCACGCACGCACGCACTCACTCACAGCGAAGCATTCATTTCAAAACTCAAAAGTTGATACTAAACTTATGTCATCGTTTGTGGGGTTTTCTGCCCTGGACTATCCAATCCCCCTTTTGAATTGGAACATTGGCTCCAAAATATTTAGTAAGAGTTATTCCTCGCTCTGTTATTCTGTAGCATCGACTTATTTTTGTAGGGTTTAGGGTTTAGGGTTTAGGGTTTATTTATTTTAGGTCCAAGCTTGATTTATAAAAAAACTATATATTTTAATTTAATTAAAATAAATTTTAAAATTGGGTTTTATTTAATTAAATTTAAAATTTAATTAATTTATTTATAAGTTATAAAAAGATAAATATTAGTCTTGAAGATTAAATTTAAAGAATAAAAACTAGTAAAATTTTATTAAAATAAAAAAATTCAATACTCTTTTATAACTTCAATTTAATAAATAATTTTTAATAAAATTTCAATTTTATCACTTTTACATGCTTAAATCTGGTTCTAAGTGTTGAAGTTAATAAAATGTATAAGTTATTTATTTTTAATAATTTTAAATAAAAATTATTTACTGATTTAATATTTAAATAAATGTTTTTATGTTAAATAAAATAATAATAAAAATTTAATTTTATCTAAATATAAATGTCTTAAGATTAAAAAAATTATTACAAAAATAATAAATATTATATATGCAAGCTATTTAAAAAATTATTAATATCAATTTGAATTTTACAGATTGTCAAATTTAATTTTAAACTTAACTTTATTATTTAATTAGATGAATAATTTTGATCGAGCATTTAATGAGTTAAGCTAAAATAATTAAATTTATTTATACTTTTGGTTTTAGTTTATGTTTTAAAGTTTTTTATTTTATTTAAAGAGTATTTAGATGTTATTATTAAGATTTATAAAAATAATGTGTTTTAATTTTTAAAAAAATTATAATTAAGTTTATGAATGAACTCATATTTAATAAGGAATTATTGAACAAACAATTAAATAAACTAATTAACAAAATGAAGTTTAAGGTATTAAGTATTGAATATTGTAACTTTTTTGACGTGCATATTTGATTTTTAATTAGTAGAAAATAAAACACAAAACTAAATTAGAGCTGCTCTAAATGGATGATACTAAACTGTTTAGTGAGAAAAAAAATGGCAACGAAAAAACTACTAATGAAAATGGGGTTGTTGAATGTACTTTATTATAAATATTTACTAATTAATTGTAGTGCTCAAATTGATGATATAACTTGTTACTTTTGTCATTATTTGAAAGAACTTTCAACTTATTTATTTTTAACGTGTTCAGTTTCATCTTAAATATAGTACTTTAGTGCACATTGGCTTTGATTTTTACTAGTTTTACCTTCAAATTTATCGACTCGCTTACTTTTTTGGGTTGGTGTTAGTTGTAGTAAAAAAAAAGATATATATTTATTAATTGTTTGGATAAGTACAATGTGGTCTCTGTGATTACATAGAAATTAAATTGTATTTTTCAACGGTGTTTTGGATGAAAGAGAATATCTAAATTCTATTATTCTGAAATTTTAGAAATAGCTATCACTTGTTAGTAAGGGAGAAACTATTTTATTAGTTGATTATTATTTGAACCCACGAAATTACATTTATCTTAGTTATGTATAAGTATGTTTTTATTTTTTATTTTTTTGAGTAAATATTAATTTTTTCTCTATATATATAGATTTTGAATTTCTCCTGAACTCTCTAATAATTTATGTTTTACTTATAAAAAAATTAACAAAAATAGAGTATGAAATTTTTACTATTATATAAGAAAACCGAAGAGTCTTATTCACAAAGGGGAAAAACGCACTGTAAAAACCTTAAAGTGTAAGCACATTGCATGCAAGAAGCTAATATAGTTATTTAATTACTACGTTTTTTTTGCCAAATTTTATGCATATTTAACTTCAAAAATACAGTTTATGTTAAAATAATATTAAATTCAAATACAAAACTAGTCTATAATATACAGCCAAAAAAAAGCTGAATGCATGTTTTGAATACGTCGAAACAAGTTTCCCACGTATAAAAATGTGTATGATAGGCGTTATTCACTTTCATATTTCTATTTCAAATAATAACGAGCCTTAAAGATATATGAGCCTATTTACGTATAAGAATAACTAAATAACAGATATTGATGATCTTAAATCATAAATTATTTTTTAAAAATTAGTGTATTGTTAGTGTAAATATTTTATATTATAATTGATTAAAATATTAAATGAATATAACTTTAAAATAATTATTAAAAAATTTTAAAAATATTTTTTGACACGATAATTTATGATTAAATAATTTTATTGAAAACATTTATACAATAGTACATTTTAATTATATTTATATTTAAACAAGTCCAAAAATTATATATAAGTACAAAAGTTAGAAGATTTTTGACGTCAATACTTCAATTATATTAATAGTTATTATATTTATAAATATCACATTTTAACACTTATATATAATTTTTCATGCAATAGTTTGCAGGCCATTTGAAAAAGCTTAAAACTATTAAAAATATAAAAACACAACAAATTAACAAAACTTAAATATAAGTGAATTGTGAAAACAAAGTATATATTTTTAATTAATAAGTATATAGATATGTACATTATAGAGGACATGTGGATGGAAAACCTTGATAGACCACGAACAATTTTATTTAATTGTTTTATTTTTTAGTAAAAAATAAAAATAACGAGTCCCACGTTTTATCTTTGCCCCTTTCTTGTCGTGAAAGACTGAAAGTAGGTGTCAAATTAGGCTTGAGGCTTTTTCTTGTTTTTTAAGTTGATTTTAATAAGTATTTTTAAAATTAATATAAAACATTGAAAAATAAAAGTAATAAAAAACAAGTTTATATTAAACAAATTATTTTTGTAATCACTGTTATTATTATTATATATTTTATTCTCTTATTTATTTATCTAATTATAAAAGCATATTTTTATTTTATTTCCATCCATCTAAATGGTATATTTTTTTCTTCTTTAGTTATTTTTATAACGTAAACAAAGCTTAAGATTTGTTTACCCTTAGTACGCATCATATCATCATGTCATTTGGGAGAGAGAGAGGGATTATTATCCAATAAAATCAAATGCACTGCAGATATTAATGTTTTATTAAAGAAATAAAAACACAACTAGTTAGCAGAATAGTCTTCTTGTGGGAAGGGTTTATCACATTGATATCAATATATAATCTATATCACAGATCTATAGAGTCATGTTTAAATTTTGTCTTTTTTTTTTTTCCTTCTTTTAGCCTTGTCATCTTAAAATTTAACGAGTCATAAGGATTAATTTCCTACGGTAATAAAAAGGAATAAATGACTAATCAAAAGAATTATTGAAGCCAATAATGTTCTATAAATCTAATAACGGAAACAAATTTGATTTGATGCAACTATGGATAAAATGGGCTTTTTAATGAAACATTTTAAGCCTCTTTCTTTCTTTGGTATTTATGCTGGAGGGAGTCATTGAACTCTGAAACAGCAACGTTAGTCATTGCTGAATAATGGGCATTTAAAACGTCAACTACCATGTTTATATTTACTATATAATTGGTCAAGCTTAGCAACTATTCATATAATAAACATATCAAACTGATGTCATTAAAGTACAAGCATTCCAAATTATTTAAAAATCTTATCTCACGCCGCCCTTGTTTACCGTTCATATGGTAAAGAAAATTCTGGTTACCTCGTATGGCAAGGGGTTTGGTGCTGTCGACTGACCTCTCAACCTTAAACGCCATGGAAGGTCGCTTTTAACGTAATATAATAACATTCTTCTTAACCAATGTTTAACGGCATATAATCAAATTTTATATAATATTTTTTATTGAAAATTATAAATATTACAAAATTTGATATTTTAATAATATTAAATACTATAATTTGTTCTTACTGACTTGTTTGGTTCTTCGTTAGCACCTCTCTCAACGTAAAATTGATAAACTTTTGCTTAAATTTTCATTGTCGTATCTTGAGAATCTCGTAACTTCCGTCTGAACCCTTGTACAAATAAACTTCACGCCTCTTTATATACATGTTAAAAATAATTTATATTATTTTCAATTTTTTTATAAAAAAAAGTAACAAATTTTTTAAGATTAAAAAACAACAATTATATGTTCTAAATTTACAAAGTATTTTAAAAATATTCATAATCAAATTAATGATTCATTCTTTAATAAATAAATATATTCACTTGTATTATAATGAATAAGTGTTTTTTAAACATATACATATATATATATATGTATATATATCATGAAAAATAAAAACATAATATTTTTAAGAATTTTTTTATAATTAAAAAAATAGTTATACTTATTATATAAGAACCTAAATAAGTATAGTAAATTAGCAATTTCTTAACGAAGTAAAAATAAAGTTGTTTAGAAGATAATAATACACCCTTAATAATCATAGATAAGAATGAGTTAAGATGCATTATTGGTGGAGCATTGCTTATTATATAAAATAAATGGATGGTTGATAGCCTACATTTGGCAAAAAGCATTGAATCATTTTTTCACCAAGTGGAGAGGCACGTACACATAGTATGGCCCGCATGGAAAGAACCCTATGTTTCCGAGAAACTTCCTTTTTCTTTGTACAAAAGCTAATACATAAAGTTGATGAAGTCACGGGAAAATGAATTCAAATATGCATCGCTGAGATTTGCAGATGTCATCTTGTTTTGTGGTTGCCTTTGTGAATGGGAGTGTGTCATGATCCACCCAAATTGGCTTTTGCCTCACTTAAACTCCCCACATCACCAACCATGAAGAAGATTGCTGCCATTTAAGAGTCTCAAAAGCTAAATGGTCACCATGACCACCAATGATTTGAGTAATATATTATATTATTAGGTGCACTTGCACATTTTGCAAAAAAAATAAAAAAAACCCTTCGTTTTGGAGGGATCTCTTGTAAGTCTAGTGTCAAATTATTGAAGCTTAAAGAACACCAGCACATGCTTCCAAGATCTTAGGATTATAGAAAGTAGAAACTGCATCAAAGTGATACATTATCAGCACGGTGTTCAAATTTTGGTATTATTTTTCTTATACTGCATTTTTTATAATATTATTGATTTACTCAGAAGACCCCCCATCAACTATTGCACTTCGTGGACTAATTCTTGCCTCGTAAGAATGTTCAGATAAGAGATCAAGGACAGGTAGAATGTCAATTATAAAATAGCCCATGTGATAATTGACAGTAACCATGTTCGTCAAAAATATACGACTAAGATGAAATTTGAGAGGAAAAAGTGGGAACAAAGCATATTCTTGCCTATCAATACCCATGTCCATTAACTAAAGTATCCCGGTTCTTTTCGATTTCACTGTTGGTCATTGATCATCATTCATTAACTTTATTATTTTTAGAAGAATATGTAATTCATACGTAACATGGATAATGGGTAATTTTTTTTTTTCACAAAATCCAAGAACTTCAAAGAAGTTGAGAGATTTCCATAATTGGTGGGATTTACCTGCATATAACCTTTGTCCAATCAAGAGGGCCCTGACAAGGCAAGAAATAATAATATATTAGTGCATCAATGAGAACTTTTCCTAGCTCTGGAAAGCCAAATTCAATTTAAAAACACTTTATATTCACGAATCACATGGTTTTGTTGCCTTCTATTCAAAATGAATGATTGCCACACTGTTATGCTTACTATTTTAATTTTTATGACATAATTCATTACTTTGTCTTCGCAAAAAAATTGTTCCAAATTTTGTCTCTAATAAACATACATTAATTCGGTTCCAAATTTAGGATTCACGGTTTTAACAAAGTTCAAATGAAACCGAAATCAATAGAAACAAACTAGCGAATCAATATTAATCATAACTTCTAACAAATATAAATCCAATTTTGCTCATATTTCAGACTTTCACAAGCAAGGTGGTTCAGCGGCGGAAGCAAACTTGAATTGAGTTCCCTTATGCAGGGTAATTTACTAGAAAACCCAACTATATAATTCTTATTCTGAGGCATTCCCACCTCAAAAAATTTACCTTTTCTTTGTTTTGTACTTATGATTGGTTCAAGTTGTAACCAGTACCGTGAGAACTTCACATGGGTTGTCAAATGATAGTTGAAGCATGTTGGAGTGACGAGGGGGGATGTAGACATGGCGGTACCGTTCCAATTTCTCTTGTTTCTCATTGGTTGGGATGATTAGTCAAACACTCAAATATGTGCTTGTTGGGTAACCGACCCTCTAGGATTTTGGAACATGCAACTACTTTCACGCCAGCGACACTGAATAATTTAATGCTAAAATAAACTTCAATGAAATAAGATATTAAATAAGAGAGAAAATATGGGACGCACACATAGGGTAAGAGCCCCACTCGCTGCTAACTCGTAAATTTTCTTTCAAATACTATATGAAAGGTTTGAAAGAATGGGACAAAGGAGTTGATCTAAAGATTCTGTTCCCATATAAATGCAACCCAAGTTGCCCAACAAATTTTTCAGTTGCCCATGTTGGTCTCTAGAGGCCTTGCTGCTTTTGCTTGTCTCCAACGCCCAATTGCTAAGTGTCTTTCTTAAGATGGTTTTGGCGACAACAAAACATGTTATAGATATGATACAGTAGTTTTTTTTTTTATTATTTCTTTGTCCATTTTCCTCTTCTTTGGGGGAGTGGGGATGGTGAGAATTGTACCTCATACAATTAAATCCATATTCGTGGGTAAGATGAAGAAAAGACAGGCTTGGGATAAAATGGCAAGAGAAAACAGGAGTAAAATTGGAGCTTCGGAATTGGCGAAATTGGTGTCTCATAGAACTTTTTTGTGTAATCGCGAGAGGGGTGGGGGGGATTCACTTACTTGTGAGTTTGGTAGAAAATCCGCTTTCAAATTAGGGAAAATAATGGATAGCTTTGTTTTTATCTCAAGTATTATTATGAATTTGGTTAAGTAACGTTTTAGGAGGTTAGGTCAACGTCAATTCTTCATTTCACTATTAGGTTGGCCTCGTGCTTACTTGTTGAGAAAGCCATAAAGGTAACTCCCTTTTTTTATATAACCATGTTCCCATTACAATTACATAATTTATAAGGCATCATATCTTACGAAGAAAAAGGCACAACGCGCGGCAGACACGTGTGGGAAAAACCCGAAGTTATTTGCACGTTAGGATCTAACCCAATCAATACAGTTCTTTCTTTCCCTTGGGTTCACCAAAGTTAACACATGATAACAAAAATTAACCTAATGAAAGAAAAAGGAAAAATAACCAACTCTTATAATTGGAATTAAAAGAATAAAAATAAAAAGCTTCTTTCTTCAATAATTATATTATTTGTAATTACATGTCACAATTCAACTACAATTTGAAGAGTAGAAAAGAGGAGAAACAAGGGAAAGAGAGGAAGAGAGAAATGGTTTTGGAGTTACGAGGACATGGGGACACGGAAATTATCCAAAATTATCAACAAAATTCCCTTCACCATTCACAAGACACCATACCCTGTGTCCTATGAAGAGAGTTAGTGGTGGACCATTCCTCTACTATACTTGTAAAAAAAATCAAAAAGAAAAGAAGCATAATCACAGAATATTCACAGAAAAACCAAATCAATAAGAGTAGGCCAAACGTTGGGCCACACGATCCCTAAGAATTCCATTATACAAAGCTACTCTGTTAGCAGGCATTCCTCTGATCTTCGTTTCGCCATTATAATTCCTTTCAACCTTCGATTCTGACTTTGACTTGAAAGAATCCTCACTCACCCCTCGTCGCTTCCTCAACTCTTCTCCATCTCTACAAGACTCCACCACATCCTCCGCAAAGTGCACCCGTTTCTTCTTCTTGTTCTCCCTCTTCTTTCCATCTGCAAAAGCACAAGAACCCCACAATTGTGTCAGCAAAAGGAACAGTTTTGTAAATGTGGCGTGTGCATACAGAAACAGGGGAAGATTCAGTACCCACCAGAGGATAAGCAAGATCGCAGAATCGGAGTTGGAGAAGAGTGGATTTCGTGAACAGGCAAGTGGAGAGGAGGGAAAGACCTCTGCAAACGCAGAGCGAGAAGGATTACAGTACCTGAGACAGCCATGGCAGTTGCAAAGACCACCCCTTGTGAGCCTATCATTGAGGACATGATCTCAAGAAGAAGTAGAAGAAAGAAAAGAAAAGAAGAATTATAATGAATGTGAAGAGGTGGGAACTGAGGAGTTTTCTTTGTAGAGATGAGTGATATTATATAGTAATGGTGAAGTATGAGCAGCAGCCAGCAACATTTATTATAATATTATAATTTTATGTCATATAAAATGGAAAGTTGTTTCGTTTATAAGAAACTAATTTAATTTTATAAATAAAGAGAAGCACCAATCCAAATAGTTACTTCTTTGACGAATGATTGAAGAAAAGGTAAAGAAGAGAGGGTAAGGACCTGTAGCTATTTTACTCACCCAGTCATTTCTTTTTGTAAGCACTGACGTATCATTGCAACTTACGTGTTGCGTGACTTGTACAATAAAAATATATCAATTTAAAGATTGAGTATGTACTTAGAAATATGTTAAAAAGTCTTTAAACATAAATTTAATCTAAATTTTTTAATTAATATCATTAAAATAAACTTAAATTTATGTCCGTTTAAATATGAATTCAAACAGTAGACAAATTAACCTGATGCTATAACAATACCTGAGTTCAAACCTTTCATTGAAATTCAGTAGTTTGTTAAGTTTCATTTCACCCAGAATGATCTACACACAAAATCTTAAAACAATTTTTTATGGGCTATGGTCTTGGTGACGTTTATGATTAATGTGCTAGTACTTATAATTTATAACGAATATTATATATTATTTTACTTAAATTTAATTCAAATGGCGTTTACGTAATTAATTATACATTATATCTTTATGTTTTTTTTTTTCTCTTTTGTATTTTAAAGTTATATATATAAACCTTTGATCGAGAATAACAATATTACAATGTGTCATCACTGTACGCTCCAATAAGAATTTAGAAAAGGGTATGCTAAGTTCAATTTTTAATTTTAGTTATAATTTTTACATTAAAACTGTGTGTACATTGAGAATAATTAATTTTAAAAATAAAACAAACAAGATTTGAGTATTGAAATCGAATGCAACTAAGGATTGGACTTGCAAATGGATAAATTATTGATAAATGTTAACCAGTATATTGTTGGAGAAATTAAGTTTGGTTTTTATTTTTTTTAAAGATATGACAATGTATTAATTTCATAATTTTTAATATACTTTTTACGTAATTTTAATATTTTTATTGGTTATTTTTAATTAATATGATGAAAATAATAATTAAAATGTCTTAAATTGTTTAAAATTAAGTAATTAATATATTAATTCAACATTATATAACTATATCATGAGATATAAACTCGACTTTTGTTTATTTTTTTGAGAGTGCTCGAGTTTTGTGTTTGACAATAGAAGGATATATTTTTCTCTCCATAAACATGCACTCCTTTTAACCATTAAGACGCATTTTAAGGATAAAATCTTAAAAGGCTATGATTGTTAAAATAAACAATATCTTATACACAATTGTAGATTCAACCTATACTCACTTTCTCCATCCTACTGAAGTACCCTTGTGGTAAAGATGTTGCCAACTAAAGCAAAACATAAATTAAATAAATATTTTTAAAAAAAGTCAAACACTTCCATAGTTTAATTCAACTTATTTAAATAAACAAGGCATTCCTCACTATTATTTTGTGTTTTACAACTCAAGCCTAATATTTTAAACACACGCAATGTATATTCCATATTGAAACTATCTTTTAAATTTATAAGAAAAATATTATTTTTCTGAAACTTATTATTATGATGTATAAAATTATTAATAAATTCTTATTGAGAAAAATATAGTAAAAATATTTGTTACTAAATAATATAAAAATTTATTCAACTTAATTTTTATTATATTTTCCCTTTATTTCTATTGATTTAAATAAAAAAAATACAACGAAAAGAAGAAGGAAAAGATTAGCGGAAAACAGTATAATATTAAAGAAGCATGGGGAGTTGTGGAATGATTAAATAGAAAAATGTGATCCAATAAATGGAGCTTCTGGAAGCCATGACATGTCTGTCACGCCGAGGTTTTCTGCTTATAAATATTGCCTCAACAGCACAATTGAGAAGACTAATTAGAAAAATAACTCTTCTTGCATGCTGCCCAGAACCCCACTCTTTATGTTTTTTTTTTAAGTTATAATTAATGGGCGTTTGACATTTTAAAATTTACATATAATGTTGTATAATACCATCAATACTGTAACTTTATCCTTTAATTAAAATTAATATTTCTATTTTAATATCTGTTGCCATTTTTTAATTATTGAGATAAAAATTATTATTATTATTATAAAATACTAATTTTGTTTGAAAATAATATCATCCACACTTGCGTTATTGCATTAAAGTTTTATTTTTTAAATTATTACAAAAATATCTTTAAAAATTTGTTTGAAAATTAATTTTTAAAAAGAAAAAAATTATATAATAATTATTATTATTCGAGAGTTTTCAGACAAAAAAATTATAAATCTTTCAAAATGTTCTTAATCCTGTATCTTTTAATTTATTTGAATTTGAGAGTAATTTTTATTAACTTTAATTTTTTTCTCCTTTTTTAAATTATTTTTTTCTTTTCAAATTTCTACACAAATTTCATCTTAAATAGATGATAATAAGATTAAATAAAATTTAACCAAATGAAAAGTTGAATACGCATGTAATTTGTCTTACAAACAAATATTTCTTTAAAATATTAGTTAAAGAATATAAAATTAGAGTTTTAATTAGAAATATAGTAACAAATTTTTAATTTTTTAAACTTTAATTTTATGATTTTTTTAATGTATTTGATATTCTGGTTAATTTTTTTCATATATTATTTGCAACACTTGTTTGCTTGAAATAAGAAAAGGAAAAAAAAAGTTAATAAAATATATTTATAAAAATTACATATCACTCAACAAAGAGGAAAAATGAAAAAAAAATGCGATGCTTCCTTGATAGAGAGAAAATGGGAGGTTAATATATATATATATTAAAATCACAAATAATATTAAAGAGTTTATTTAACAAAATTTATTTCACTATTTTTCAATTAAATAAGAGAAAAATCAAAAGTTTTCTCTCCATTCAAATAATAATAATAAATTAAATTTATTTTATCTGTTCTTCTTTTTTGTTCACTAATTTCCTCTCATCATCCAAATGAGAAGCTTATTAAGTAAATGGATTAACAAAAAAAAAAAAATCGCTATCTAACTATCATTCTTGTTAAAACACACTTCGAAAAAACATTTCCGGCAGAAAAAGTTTTGGCCTAAAAGAATGTCTCATTCGTAAAATGTTAATAATGGGTTGAGTCTTAATAGAGTATCATAATATCTAACTTTATATCTATGTTGTAAGGATATGTTCATATTCGTATGAATAACAATTTTAATATCGTTTTTATGTTTATTTGGTAATTAAATTTTTATATTTATCTTTATTATTTGTACTCAGTCTAAAATTCTTTGACTTTGAATAAATATTTATCATTCTCATTATAAATTGTCTTTTTATAAGTATAAATTTCATTGTCATCCTTACTTATTCCATGACAAGAAAAGCAACAGTATTTACATTACTCAATTTGGACCCAAAAAAAAAAAAAACTCAATTTCTTAGAATCAATAAATTTAAATTATTTCGTAAAATTTTTAATCATACTTTAAAAATTTGTAAATATATTTTAAAAGTTTTCAGTTCAATCTTTAGCTACAATTTTGTAAAATAAGTGGACTTGTCTGAAAAAAAAAATTAGTTAAAGAGTTTACTGATTAAACAAACTAATGAGTTAATCTTTGAAACTTTTCAATTAAGTTTATGTAATTAAAATTCTAAAATAGTTCTAACAGAGAAACTAAGTTAAAAATAACTTAAAACTCTAAATTTTAATTATAAAATTTAAAATATAAATAAATGTAAAAAAAATTTAAAAATTTTAATGATATTGTAATGATAACATGTTGCGAATTATTTCGCTTTATTTATTTCCAATGAATGTCTCGTGTCATTATAAAGTTATCAGAGTCGTTAATTTTAATTTTTATGAATGAATTTAAATATTTTAAAATAGTTTTTAAAAAATATTTTTATGATTTTTATTCTCAAAAATAATATTTTTAATGAAAAAAAACTATTTTTGATGGCTTACTCTTTACTCAAGAAAATGAGATTAACATTTGGCAAAAACTATTAAAAATTTTTACGCAGGTGGGACCTTACAAAATGATAATTTGCAGCAGTCCAGTCCTAATTTACGGATTTTCTCAACTACCGTGTTTAATTTGTACATTGCGGCTTTTGGAAGCATGATTATGACTAATTTCATATGACTAATCAATCATGCACAGCTCAATGGTATCCCCCCATCAACAAAGAGCAGAAATGCAATTATGTCTATTAAATATCATATGACTAATTTCATTTGTAAAAAAATAAAAAATCACATGAATACTCTCTAAAGCTAAATTTATATAGCACATGGGCTTAAAATTTTGCTGTCTTCTTTATTTAAAAAGACCTTATAGAGAATCACCTACTTTTGTTCTTCCAAACAATCAATAGATTTCGAACAAAAAAAGAAAACAGTGGAATTGTAGAAAAAAAAAGCAATGTAATTCATATGTTCACAAATATTTTTTTAATAAAAGATTTTAGAGTTGATATTAAATATTTATAAATAATACATTTTTATAAAAAAATACAATTATTATATTAAAGTTATAAAAATATAATAAATATTTTTTTCTAATAAACTTTTATTATTATTAACTGTTTATCTTCAGTCTTAAAAGTTGATTTTAATAAAATTCTCAATAAAAAAATAATTTTATGATTTTTTTTTATATTTTTCAAAATATTATTTTTATTTTAAAAAAATAATTAGAGTTTATTTGTTTTAAAGTTTTTAGAAAGCTAATTCTTCTAATAATGTTAGACATAATTTTTTTAGGAATGCTTTTTCTCTACAAGAAAAGCTTAAACCAACTAGTTTACGTTGATATATTTGACCAGGATGTTAATTTAGTGCATAGATTTTTATTTTTTATTTTTTTGCCTGAATATATAATATCGATATTTAAGTATTAAGTTAAGTTGTAAACACTTGAGCGGTGTTTAGTACGAGAAATATTATAACATTCCAAGAAATGTAATATAAGAATAAAAAATTATCATATTTAGTCGAGAGAACTAAATATATCAATTTGTTTCAACAATAAATCTTAAAATTAATTTTAAAGATTTAAAATAAAAAAATTTCTATGAAAAAGTTTTATTACTCTAAAATATAAGAAATATTTTTTTAACAAAACTTTAAGTTATTGCTTAAAATAAATTCTAAAGGGCGATGTCAATATTTTCTAAACATGTTAATTTGTTATTAGGCGAAGGTAGGACTTTCTCAAAATATTTTTTTTTTCATCATAGATAGTTTTTTTTATGAAAACAACCTTATTTGGACTGAAAATATTTACATGATAAACTATGTCTCAGCAACAATTTTTCATACACAATGTTTAAACCTGAGACCTTTTGTATAAAAATCAATCATATACTATTTAAATCAACTTCCTATTGGTATTTTCTCATAAGATTCCAGTGCAAAACTAAAAATAATTTAATTAAAAATGAAAAATGTTATACCAAACGTCATCTTAAATTAAATCTAATAATAAACCGAAGACAATGTAAAATACTAAAAATTGAAGATTTTCACATATTGGGATTCCGTCTATTTTAAACATAGTGCATCATTTATCTCGTTTATTTCTCTCTCAAAATATTCGCAGTCCTCAATTATGTATTCTTTAAATCAAAATCATGTTATATGATATTAAGAGTGAAATCACAACCTGGGAAAGTAACCTCAAGAACTGGGAAACGTTAAGCACACTCAAAAACTTGTGGATGCAAGGGGTGCAGAGAGAAATGGGATTGATTAAATCACAGTTGGGAATGTTTGGAAATGAGCTTGCTGACAGTGGAAGCAGGGTGGATTGAGGGATTGATGGCGATAGGAGAAACTTGGGAAATGAAGCGCCACTCTGTAAATCATTCTTCCCATAATTGGAAATTCTCTGCTTCCTAATTTTCTGGGAAAGACAAAAGAAAATCCAGGCGGAAGGAGAGAAACATGGGTAACAGTGTAAAAAAGAATGAAAATTATTGTGGATGTTTCAATAAGGAACAAGGAAAGAGGGAATTGGTGATTTCAACTCGAGAATAGATGGATAGATTATGCTATTTTTGGGTTGGATCTGTTAGTCGTTTACAAAACTAACCAGCTCTTATTTTCCTTTCTTTGGTCTATCTGCAATGAACGTCTCTTTTGGTAGGTATCGGTTATTCAGTATTTCACTTTCAAAGCATGACATGTTGATGAGATTATACAAAAACAGTGTACGCGTAATAAATCAAAGGGGTAAACTATAACAAGATGTGTCAGGACTAATGTCCTGGGCAACCTGGAGGAGGAATTCTACGTTGATATCATCAGGGTAATGTTGTAAAAGTTTTAAATTGGCCACAAAATCACCACTTAGCAGTCTACTTTTCACGCAAAGTAGCATTGCACAACAGATTCGAAGAAGCATATCCTGCGAAAAAGATTTTAGCTAGGCAACTTATTATTAATCTAAATGACATAGTAAAAGACTAAGCAGCCAAACACTGTAAAATCTGCACTAATATTGCAAAATTGAGTATTAATTTATCCGGAAAGATAGCCGAGGAGTTTGGTTCAGAGGGAGATACCTGAACACCAAAAGGATTACTCAGAAGTGTATCCCATATTCTCAAGATAGACTCAAATCTGAACTCTTGCGTGAGTAGCAACGTAATCCACCGGAATGCATAGAATTGTGGTTTAACCTGCTCAAGAGATTCAATTGCATCAATTTAAATAGAATGGAACCGTACAAGCTGTTGAAGAAAAAAAGTATAAAGGTTCTACCTTTGTTGTAAATTCAAGATGATGCCATAATTGTTCGTCATTTACTTTTAACAAATCTGACAACCGAGAAAGAGTTGCAAGGATGCCACTTGAACTATTATCCAATTGTTGGCAGAAATGATCCACTGAGTCTCCCAAGATTCGAACAAAACAAGAAAAGCTATCTGCCTCTGCATTTTCCTAGTAGAAGGAAAGCAAAGCATAAATAAATAACAAAGGATAAAATTATATTCCTTTTCGTCGGCGGAATTTATTTGCGCGGACAACCTTCAAGAACAAAATTGTGAAGTATGATACAAGAGGATGACAATTTTTGTACAGCAACATGTAATTTTAAACTGGCCAAGTCTAATAACCAGTCTGGTAAGTTTTACGAATCATACTCGACCGGTGTTGGTTCATGTCTAAAACAGAAAGAAATTAAACGTCCAAATTGTCTAGCAGTATAACTTTCAGGCTTCCGCACATGTTGGTGAGAGCATAGAGAATCATAAGCAGTATTGAAAGACATATATATATTATATACTCAAATTCAAATTTTGAAAACACAAGTGACCCTTCTTCAACCATTAATTTTGGTTTCCTGCTGAGTGCATGTTGTACGTCATATATACCATTTATTAACCCTAGCCAAAGAAACAATGAAACTGGCACAAATCACACACTATACAGTTATGCTGGGAAAGTGCTTACAGCATTTTGCTTGTCATTGTCACTACTAAATACATAGTATAATGGTGCCAAGACCTCGTTCATGCCTTGCACATAACAAATTGCAGGATTTGATTTTGCAAACAGGAGAAGGATATTCTTCATCGCTTCCTATTGGCAAAGTATCGAGAAAAACTTCAATCATAGTAGAACTCCCTAAATCTACTACTTTACACTGATAAGTGAAAACAAAATTGAGGATCGTCTGATAAGTAGCTCACATAAAATCAGAACTCACAACAAATTAACAGAAAACTTGTAGATTTTTTTTTGGGTGCGGTTAGTTACCATATTTTTGCGACTAAATGATGACTCCCCTGAGAAGAATGGGATATCTGGATGTGTACGCTGCAGATCTCGATCTATCTGTTCTACTATCTCTGTATGCTACAAGACAGACAGACAGTGATAAGCATAGACTTCACTATCCTGAAGGCATTAAGCCAAAATTAACTTTGAAATGGAGGAGAAACTTACCTGAAAATATTGACTCCAAAGACTTGTCTTACCGAGGCTCAAAGGGTGGTCTTCATGAGAAATTTCTAGTCGCCTAAGGGGGCCATCAACATCATTGTCCTCGTGCTGCCTTGTGGAACTTACTTCTTCATATTCCCTCCAGATATGTTCTGACTGTATTAGATTCAACAATATGATCAGTGAAAACTGGAAAGCAAGAGCTACAACACAGATAACACCAGATACAGCCAGGTAAACATTTCATATTTATGTAACTACTTACGTGAAAATGTACAAATCAGCAGTGTATTACCAGATTCAGGAGAAGCTCCTCTTTCAGATTAGCATATTTTTGTCTATTCTCTTCGAGTTGCTTCTCCCACAGGTCATGAGATGAAGGTAAGTAACCCAAGAGGAGCTGGTTCAGGAAATCATAGCAAGACAATCAGCTGCTTCTATCCAGACATAACTACAATCAAAGGAATTTATACTTTTGCAAATGCAACATAAGTACAATATCTTCATCACTAGATGGCATGAAAGTCATAGGCATAATATAATATTATATTCCTCGCTATCAATTATAAGCATTAAGGTATTTAATTCACATATTGATGTGAGCACCAAAGTGTTGAAATTCCATATCTAGGAACTAATATGATGAAGTAATTACCTTCCAAGCCGTTGCACGCAAACCTCCTCCATTAGGAATACCGGTGCTGGCAATTCTTTGCAGCTTTTCCAAATTAATCTCACCTTGAGAAAGCTGGATAATAAAAGAGGTAAATGAAGGAACAATAAAGAGCAAAATTAAAGGAAATCATGCATAACCATTTCCATATTTCTTCTCCAATCACGGCCAACCTCGTAATCGAGATCCGATCTTTTCTCATCCTCCGAAATGGATTTCAATACAGAAACCGGAGTGAAAGAACCCTTGTTCAATCTCTGCTGGACTTTTTGGTCCTTATCATCATCCATAACTTCGTCACCACCTTCATTCTCCCTGTTAAACCCTAACTCGCCGGGTCGAATCGGCTCCAGCTCTTCGCCAGACTCGAGTTCGAACTCGGATCCTCCTATTTCGTTTCCTTTTTCGTCAAATCGGGCGACCAAGCTGCCTAGCCGGTCGGGAAAGACACTCCGAGTCTTGTCCGGAGCTGGAAGCTTGAGCATGGGGGTCGGCTAAGACCGAGTTTATAGAGATGATCGGCCGAGTTGAGACGATAGGAAGTGGAATTTGGAAGGACGAGAGAGGAGCATGGGTTGTCGTTCTACTCTTCTATGACTCAGATACCAAACTCGGTTACTCAGAAGAAGAATGGTAGTTAAGGAAGGAGTTAACCGTTGAATGGTAGGAAGGCGCCACAAATTTAAACCATTGAAATATTTGGGCCAACTGGACCGGGCATTTTTGGGCTTTGACTATATGCATAGGCACACGGAAAACAATTAATATTAAAAAATAATATATGTAAAAAAAAAGAGTGCATCAAATTTAAATATTTATATTATTTAATATATTTTTATAAAATATAAAATTAATTATTTTAACTTTTAAATTATTATATATTATTTTTTAATTATAAATATCAAAATTTTATATAATTTAAATTATTTATATGTTATCTAAAGTTTGATATTTATTGATATTTAAAAAAATATTATCCGTCAAAATAAAATAATATAATAAAAAATATAATAATTTTATTTTTTATAAAATTTATTTATTTAATAACAAAATTTAAACTAACAGTTGAATTAATTAATTTTATATTTTATAACAAAATTATTAAATCAAGTAAATTTGAGATTCAATATAAAAAAAAATTAATTAAAAATATTAATGTATCTTATAAGGTAACAGTAATAATAGCTTAGTATGTTTAAAATTAGTTTGGTTGGATAAATATATAAATTTAAAAATTAAACGTACAGCTTAATAATAATACGTGATTTTGTTGACGTGACGTATTTGAATCTTTGATTAAATGATTCATGTATCGTGTTCATATTCTTAAAATATTTTTTTAAAAATTAAAAAAATAAGTTAAAATATTTAAATACTTAAAATTAGAGTTTCCAGAGGTTTGAGCGATATAATGAATTTAATTAACTCAATTCAATTAAAAGTTAATTAAAACTTAATTAAGTACAAGTTATTCAACTTAATAATAACTCAATGACTAACTATAAAAAAAATTATTAATCTATAAAAATTAATTGATGTGGTGCAATTTAAAATAAATATAATTACATAAATGAAAATTTAAAATTTATTTTTAAGTTTATATTTTATTATTATTTTAATATTTCTATTTTAATAATACGTTGTTAAATATGTATGATGTTTTAAGCCTTAAAATATTGACATCGATTTTATTTTTTAGTATTTTTAATAAAATAATGATATAGTTTATTCATGAATTATTTTTAATAATTATAAAAATATTATATTCTTAGTTTTTTATTTAACTTTATTTATTTTTATATAATGTATTTTTTTAGATTTTTAAACTTTTTAATTTGTTTAAAGTGAATAATTAAAGATTAACAAATAATTTAAATACAGAAGAGTTGTTCTTTAGTAATGTTATCTGCATAACAATTCGCATGATAATTTTTAGAAAATAAAGACAGTTGGTAAATATACCATAAGAATTAAAAATGTACACTTAAATTATGAATATATGGTTAACGTTTTTTAAACAGAAAAAAATGATATTAAAATTTTCCTTAGATATTAATCGTAACTAATTATAGAAGTATGATTAAATATTAAATACACCATAAAATTTGATCAAATAATCTGTATTGTAAAGTGATTAATATGGAGCTTCAGCAATTAAAAAATATCTTTATGGAAGTTATATGATTTTTCCCTTTTGAATCCATTTACTAAATAAATCAAGAGAATAAAATAAAATATATTTTAATCCTATTTTACTTTTTATGTTAACAGTTAGAGGTTTTGAAGGGTTGGCTTTGCCCATGGAAGACTTCAGAACACATGTAAGGGAGAATCTGAAAAGAAACAAACTTCAAAGTGCATTAAATTTATTCTTTGTTTTTTATTTCTCCTCAGTAAATAAATTAAGTAAAACTCAAATTAAGATCAATAAAACTAAATATTGGTAGTCAAATTAAATTAAATAATATTGAATAATAATAAAACTAAAAAAATTAAATTTAATATTTTCATTAATTTATGTAATTTAGTTCAAATATCTTATAAAAAAAATTAAAGGAAGTGTTGTAATTTTTTAATGTATAATAATTTGGTTCTTTAATATTAAGAGTTTGTAATGTATTTGTGTTTATTATAACTTTGCATCATAGGTAATGTATTTTAAAAATGAATTTTATTTATTTATTATTATTAGTTAAAAAATATAAAATAATTATTAGGTAGTTAATCAAATTGTAAACAAAAGTATCGAGTATGAAGTTTTTAATATCCAATAGATATGGAGATAGGGCTCAAATTGTTATTGCTTCCATAAATATGGAATGAAAATGCGTAATTTTTAAAATATGAATATAAAAATAAATGCTATATTATTTTATTCAAATTTTATGCATTTTTTTATAAATGAGATGTAACATTAATTAGGTTCTTCTATGATGTTGTTAAGAAGTTAACTTATTTGTATTTCACACTAAGAAATACTAGAAAAATAACATATATTTTATCTACAAAATAAAAATCTAAAATGACATCTATTTAGAGTTTGTTTGTTTTTTTATTTTTAAGAATAAAAAAAGTGTTTGTTAACATAAGTTTTATTTAATTTTTATAAATTAGAAAACAAAATTGAAACAAAGAAGCTCTTAATTTGTAATCATTGGAAGAAGATATCAATTTCGTATTTATATGTATGAAAAATAATTTTAAACATAATTTTTCAAGATTGAAAAGGTGTTGTCTATTTTTTAGCAATTCAAACAATGAAAATTCTACTTTTAATAAATAAAAATATTTTTAATTAATATATTCAAAATAATATTAATTTAATTTATTATTTTCATATTAAATGTAATCATTATAATATTTAATAATAATATTTATATTTATTTTATATTATTTAACTACTATATTTTTATTTCTGTATGTAAGTGCATAATAATCATTTTTTTATAATATACATAAGACAAACGCTATATCAAACTAAACAAAAAACGACAAACATTATCCTACCGCACAGATTGTTTTGGGCAGGGAATTATTTAAGGTTTCTATATTTTGTTTTTAAAAAATAAAAAATAAAAAATAATCTTAGGATATTGGTTATTATAATGAAAAAATTGTGAAAAAATATTCTATTTAAAATGTAAAAAAATATTATGTTAATTTTAAACAATTTAAATGTTTATTAAATATATAATTAATTTTTAATCAAGATACTTGTCAGTAATTAAGACCTTTTAATTAATAATTTTGAGATACATTTTGTGTTAATAAAAATTAAGTTACTTCTTAAAATAATTTTTAGAATAGGAAACATTAATACTTTGATAATGTATCTTTATTTTTTATTTTACTCTGGTCTTCAAACTATTTTTTGTTCTCTAGTTTGATCTATTTTTTTAATTTTTAATTATGATAGTGACAAATCGTTACAATTAACAAAAAAAAATCTCAATGTGTTGCAGTAAACAATTATTTGACAAATAAACTAAATTAAAACAAAATAATTAAGAAGACAAAGGATCAAAATAAAATAAAAACTTAATTGTTAAGAAAACAAAATTAAAAAATAAAAGTAGTAATAATGTCTCTAAATTAAAATATGTAAACTTGTTAATTATTTTGCCAGAATGTATTTAGAAAAATAGATTTGATTAGGTGATAATTTAAAATTGAAATAAACATACGCAAAGTAATGTAGTAGAAAACACTGATTCTTAAATCTGAACAACTAGGGAACGGGCCAAGTGTCTTTGTATTAAAGGTTTGAGGGAAGGGCTTCCTATTTCAATATCACCAATCAAACACGCAAAGTATATATATATATATATTGTGTGTGGGTAAACCTAACCACGAGCAGATCCAAGGAAGGCTGGAAGAGTCTTGATATTCGATTCAATGATGTGAAAGAACTTCGAAAGCTGTCTTCACCTTTTAAATACAAGAACTCTTGGCCTTTTGCATTATGCAGACGGATGCACCAAGTAATAAGTGTGTGTAACTTACATAATGTTGGAGCCCTACACGGGACCATTCAACCTTTATTATAAATGAGCAAAAGAAAACCACGCTTAACCAAACTAACAATCATATGAGGCCTATTAAATAAGAATTAATGTGAGGGAACTTTTGACTATTCATATCATCAAAATTAACTCATATATATAAGAATTTCTTTTAGTGGAGGGGAGATAAATTAATTTTAATCATATAATTATAAATAAATAGTTAAGACTTAAAAATATTTTACTTATTTTAATCCACAAATACGTCTACGCATTTGTGGATGCATAATGTATGCTTATATATTAATCAACTTTAGACACGTCAAATTTCTGAAAATACGTTGTGCATTTAAATTATTTGTGTGAAAAAAAAGTGTATAATTGAGTTATTCTTTTTAAGGAAAACTAATTATGCAAAAGCTAATGCTTCAATCAAATCATATTTACTATGGAAGAAAACAACTTATAACTTGCATTACCTGTGAAATCGATTTAAGGGAGAAGGGATCATTACTATTAAACGTACATGAGATTTCGAGTGTAATAGATTGTAACTATATTTTTTTATTTATGAAAAAATGATTATATACACCATTGTGCCAAACCAATCAAGCTCTTAATTTAATTTAAACAAAACGATATATTTCCATGATAATTAATTAAAACCAAACGTACGTTCGTTGATGTAGACGTATCGTATCTTCTATCACCTATTTTGAATCAAAAGTATATGTATCAAACACCAATTTATACTCATTTTCATAATTTAATATATATTGTAATTGTTGAGATTTTTAAGCACCCGTAATTACTATATCTTTATATTTCAAAAATTTATAATTAAATAAAGTTTTAACTAAGACAATATCAGTTTTTGAGACTATGAAGTTGTGAATTTGTCCCTCACAGATGGTTTAATCTAATTTGAAGAATCAAATTGGAAATGTGAAAAAATAAACAGCGCGTAGCATGGACGGCAAAACTTACCTGTCATGATCTGTTGATTAATATCTATATATTTTCAATTTTAGGTGCATTTTCTATTTTTTCAAGTTTATATGTTTCCAACTTGCTTCAACTCTTCATTAGGGGACCACCGACAAACCCCCAAAATTAGTGAAAACACTGCAAAATTACCTGACTTAATTCATCTAATGATTTTGGTATTGTAAAACCTCTTTTGTCGAAAGCATTGCACAAGAGCTCATATATATTGAGCAAAAATTTTTATCCTTTTTTTGACGCACACCGATGAGATTGGAGGAATAGTCAAATGGCTTGCAATACAATGAAGAGATCGACCAAGCTCAGAAATAACAGGATGAGAAGGACTGCTGAGCAAATGCAAAATCTTCTAAACGAGAGATTACAAATGTGTAAAAAATTTTAGGAATTACTGCTTACGGCTGTTATTTTTGCTCAATCATCATATTTATATCCATATTTTTCATCTTCCTCTTTTTTTCCTTCTTTTTCAATCATATCATCTGTTACATCTTTTACTCTCTCTTTCTTCTTATCACTCATTTCACACATTTAAAATCAAAGGATTATTTTCCATATTTGATTGCTGCATTATGGACAACTTTAAAATATCCATGTGCTGTAGCATTCACTAATTAATAGAAGTGTTCTATTTTAGTATGATCGTGGGATTGGTGGTGATGGCTTGAAAATATTGTATGATATATATTGTATAACATCTCAAAATCAAAATGATTTTGTTGTTTAAATGGGAAATGGATTCACAGAGATTGGCATTGGAAATTTAAATAGACGCGTGCATGTAACTTGTGAGAGGTGACTGTACTGATTCTTAGAGCTGATTATTCAAAAATTAAAAAAATGCACATCTTTTAAGATTAGCTCTTATTCATCTAATAATTTACAAAAGATAAATCTATATATAAGATATATTAATTTTTATAAAATAAATTAATTACAAAAAATATGTTAAAAGATGTGTTTGAACCGTGTTACTAACATTTCTACTATCTACAATTACAAATCCACCATGAATTAGTAACAGGTGAAAAAGTCAAAATGGCTTGACAGCCTCGTTGGCAATCGATGGTCTAGTCGTTTTGGTACTTCACTAATATGAGGGATCTTTTTACAGTTTGTTCATAGCCTTGGTTCTTCGTTATGTACATAATGGTAGTTTTTTCAATCAGCCAAGAACGGCTTTATTTCGTCAAAGAGATAAGTACTCTGCAAAATTACATTAGACCTTGATAGGAGTTCTCTAATTAAGATTATCACAGCCATCATAAACTGGCACAGTAGTCACCTCCAATGCATTGCAGTACATAACCCTCGAAACGTGGCCAATCCCAACACACATTTTATGCTGTAACATTAACGAATTAACCTATTATTTCACAAAGACTGAATTCTCGTACTGTAAACAAACTTATCAAATCAACCGGGAAGAGACATGAATTAACAAAATGGTAGTTGTTTCTTTTTTTCCCTCTTAATTGACGTATTTCCCCCCATGTGTTTGAAACAATGGTGTTATAATCATGTAGTTGCTGGATGGTGTAGTTGCTAGATTAGATATGAACCTGAGTTGGAGACTTGGAGTATTTGTACTTCTTGTCTATTAACAAATTTCTTGACTTACGAAAGAAAATTGTCTCCACATCTCCCCAATCAGAGAATGACAACTTTTTAAAGTTTTGACTTGGCACCTTTACCTACGAAGGTTTTGGTGTTCTCGTGGCAATTAATGTTAAATTGACTCCACAAAACTTAGTTAAGAGAAATGTCATATTCTTAATTAAAATCAATAGGTTATTTGTGAATTTTTCTTTAAACACCATGAGCTCTTTGTACATATATTTAGATGTACTTAGATAACGGTTTATTTAATAAATTATTTTTAAAATGATGATATGTATCTTGATTTTAATAATCAAAGTTATTAAAATAAACTAAAAATAACTTATTTTTATAAGTTATACAACAAAGTTTATTAAAATAAGTTAAAAATAAATTATCAGAGTAATAAGTCATTATTTATAAGGATCCCATGATAAATCTCATTTTCTATATTAGATATAGGTGATTGAAAAAGGTATAATGATTTCTTAGTACCATTTGATCTATTTGAAGTGAGGGAAAAGTTGTTTTCTTTAAACATGGATCTGTTGATTTATTAACCAAAACTTGATTAAATTTGGAGAGAATTTCATTGTTTATAATTGGTTTGTGTTGAGCTAAAATGAATTATTTATCTAAATCTCATGTCGACTAACTTAAAAACAGAAACAAATAAAAAAAATATTTTATATTTAGTAACGTATATTTATTTGGTATACTGGAAATTTTTAATTGTTTTTTTTTTTTTCATGTATACAAATGCACTTGCAGATAATGCAGTTCCTCTCTCTCTTTTCTTACGTAAAAGTTTGTTTGCTCTTTACAATGTATGAGACAGTCTCGTAGGAGACAGTGTTTAAGGAACTGTGATGTTTATGATTTGGAGTATCTCTTGTACTACTTCTTTGATCTAGTTTTCCATCCAATAAAAAGCTATTTTTTGAGAATAAAGTAAGAAATTAGGCTAACAAAAGGTTTGATATGAAAATAGAAGAGTTCACGTGTTCACATTTGTATATTGATTTGGACATGTTCATAATTACTTAACTAGATCGCATACACTATCATAAAGGACGCATGCATAATAGATAGTAACAAACCACACACTTCTTTATCTTTATTCCGAAAGAAGTCAATTATTGGTTGGTATTAGGAAGATGATCCAATTGGATTGAAGAAGTACAAAGGAACGAATACGAACGATACAGTATTAGTTTTCTCTTTGATGCTAGCATTGACCAGTGATCACCTGTACCCGACCCAAGTTCACCACACAATGGCCCCCAATAATAGCATCATGTTCCATCGTCAATGTTGATACAACTAAAAGTCTCTGTTCGCGCTCTTAGTTCATCCACGTCTACTACTACATACTTTTCTTCTCTCTTTTTTCTTGCTAATTGATACACACCTTTACACCACAACCATCAACCTTTTCATATATAGTGTTAAAAAAAATAAAAGCCGCATTTATAACTCAATTATACAAAAGGTGTTATCCGAAACTTCATGATTTTAGAGATTTATTACAAATTACCATAATTACCTTCATATAAACTATTTTGAATTGTGCTCTCTCCATATAACAAGATAACCACTGAGTGATCCACGTTTTCGAGTGACACCATCTTATAATGGCAGGTAATAGAATTCAAGTGATGTCACCTTCATGTCTTTGGTTCCATATGTACTATACGTGAAATTTGGCCCGCAAGTACGTTGATGAATTCATTAATTTACACCATGTGCCATAGAAAGAAAAAGAAAACATGAAGAAAATAGGAAGGAGGGAATCCAGCGACTGTACAACGAAGTCAAGCACAAACATTTATTGAAGGGTGACTGTTAGAGGGAACCATTTAGGTGAAGATGTTTAAATGTTGTACGAGAAGCTTTTAGTTCGCCGACAGTGTGCCTTCTTTAGGTTGAAAACTCACTTGCCTCTCCCTCTATATCTATTCCCCTCTGTTCCTTCTGTACTTGGCCATCACTGTTTGTGAGTCCAAAATCACTGGCACAATCCCTGAACCCCAGTATACTATAACACCATCATGGTGCAATCAAAGAAGTTCAGAGGTGTCAGGCAGCGTCATTGGGGTTCATGGGTATCTGAAATTCGCCACCCACTGCTGTAAGTTTATTCCACTTCATTTCTACCTTTACTTAACCACATTTTTCCTCAATTATATTATTATAATAACAAAAATTAACAATTTTTTATGCTTGTCGAATAGGAAGAGAAGGGTGTGGCTTGGCACATTTGAAACAGCAGAAGAAGCAGCTAGAGCTTATGATCAAGCTGCAATTTTGATGAGTGGTCGAAATGCCAAAACCAATTTCCCAATAACCCAAACACCTGAAGGTGACCCAAAGAGCACTAACAGTGAGGACACTCCCTCCACCTCAAAGGATCTGGAAGAAATCCTACATGCAAAGCTTCGAAAATGTGGCAAGGTACCCTCGCCTTCCATGACATGTTTGAGGCTTGACACAGAGAACTCTCATATTGGAGTGTGGCAAAAGCGTGCTGGGAGGCGTTCTGATTCGAACTGGGTCATGACGGTTCAGCTGGGAAAGAAGAGTGGCAATGAGGGTAGTAGTGAAGAGAGTGGTAATAGTAGTAATCTTCTACCTTCTTCTGAACAACAATCTCCATCAGCAGTGAATGATCATCAAGAACTGGTGAGATCAGAGATTGATGAAGAGGAGAGAATTGCCCTTCAGATGATAGAGGAACTCCTCAACGACAGGAACTGTCCTAGCCCATCATTTAACAACATTCAAGAAAGGGATCATCATGACAGCTTCTTCCTTTAAGGCTCTTTCCATGAATAACAACGTTATGGTATTCACATGCATGTTTAATCTTCAGCAAGGTCATTATTTGTGGGAAAAGCAAGTTGTAGCTATAGACTATAAAATAAGTGGTGTCATATATGTCCTATGTCATGTCTTATGTCTAAAAATATTTATCTATAGGTCATAATTATTTTAAGTGTAGATATTTATATACATATACATATACATTTACATATATATATATACATGCATGCACAGCCCATATAAGACTTGGGGCATTGAAGGAAACTACACAAAAGAAAATAAGCGAGATGTATTCAGAATATTTTCAAGGTTCCGATAAAGTGCACTGCCGTCTGCTTGTTTGAATTGAAATGTTCATAATTTATTTATATAAATACCAATTATATTATATTTCCAGTTCTCCTTATCTTATGCACTGTATTATCATTCTGAATTTTTTTTGGAGGCTCAATTTTGTTGTTTGGTTCTTTAGGGTGGCTATCTCCCCTACAATACTGAAAATAGGGCTGCATTAAAAATACTATGCTAATCAAAATGTTTAAAAGTAATTGGTATTGATGTATTGTTTAAACATTTATGTTTTCCTTTTTCCATACATGGTGATCCTCTTTATATAGAAAGGGCTTAATTTTCTTTTTATTTTTTATCTGTTTAATCCAAATCTAACTTAGATTATGAACTTGAATATAATAGATGAGTTTATTATTGAAATTTTTTTTTTTATATACAATAACACAAATTCAAAATCTTTTTTAATTAATATCAAGTCGTTTGTCATTCAAATCAATTTTTATTATTATTTAATAATTTATTTGCTTATTGTCAGTCAGCCTCTGATAATTAAGGTCAATAAAAAAAACATGTCGAATTTTTAAAATTAAGGTCATGCATTTCCCCATTTAACAAAGTGATAGAAAGGAATTGTATAAATAATGTAATACCTTTGTTAAAAGTAAATGAAACATTTAAGCGAGAAAAACCATTTCTGTTCTCCTTTTTTTTTAAAAAAAAAGTCGTCCTTTAATTTTTGCTTCATTCTGAATTACTCTTTTAATTTGTACAATTAAATAGCACAACCTCTTCTTTTTAGAGATTATTTCCGTTAATAACACTGTCAGATTATTCATACATGGCTCCTGTGTGCTACCAATGACGTTTTGTGTCTAAGATGATAGTTCTTATAATTTATTAAACGAGTAAGTATTTTTGTAAGAGATAACTTTGTTAAGATTCTGTTAATTAATAATTTAAGAGTACTAGTTCACAAGTAAATAAATAATAAATGTTATTAAAATACATTAAATTTCATAAAGATACATATATATTGTTAGAATTTTAATAAAAAATACTTTTAATTCACTAATCAATGTCTTAAGGCCTAGTTAGAATTTTTCTTTCATTAATACTACGAACAGATTAATCTTACTTTGTTCTTATGAAATATTAGTGACTTTTTAGGACTCATTTGGTACACTTCAACGTTGGTGCACTCATTAAATCAGAGTCGTTATATGAAGATTAGCTAACTCAGATTTTGAGTTGGTGCTTTGAATAATAGAGGACCGAAATGAATATCAGTCACTCAATCTTCGTTCAACGGATTTAATTCAATGACTCCATCGATTATACCCATTTTCTACTGCACTAAACCGGAGTCTGACTTTTTATCACTTAAGACTAATAATAGTATTAGTGAGTATACAACTTTTTTCAGAAGCATGTCAATTTAATAACTTCATAGATTTTCAAATTACTAAAGTTTTTAAAAATTATATATATCTACAAAATATACTCGAATCTGCAATTTTTTTATAAAATGCTTAAAGCATTATTTATCATATATAAATTAATATATTTAATTGTATTTTTTATTTCTTTTAATTGGATTATATTTGGTTTTAGCTCTTAATTTTTAATTAATTTTTTGTTTTTAAATTTATAATATTTTATCTTTTTATCAATTTTCTTTTGTCTAAACCCTTTAAAATATTTTTTTTATTTTAATAGATTAAATCAATTAGATTGTTCTAAATTTTTTACACAAAATTCATCGACCAAAATATTAAGTTCTATTATATATATATATATATACTGGATATGGACCAACTCGGTCCTACTTGTAGGAAAAGAAAGTATCTATTTGGTCTAGTTTGGCCGGATACACTTTGTCAGGATTAAGAGATAATTAAATCTAATTTAGGGTAATAATCAAGATATTATTTATTTTAAATAAAGGGCTAAAAATCAAAACTAACTTGACAGACTCATTAGCCCATTACAATGCTTATATAAAAAAGGTAAAAGTACAGGTAAAGAGTTGACTTTTCATTATTTAATACCATTTATTACTTAGAACCGAATTCTGACTTCAGCATCGGAGTGCCTTTTGCAGGTATCTTCCCCTACGTCAGCGACTGCTAGAGATACGTCACCGTTTTGGAGCAAAGACCTGAAAACTAATGTTTCTTTAACAGGAACAATATATATATATATATATATATATATATATATATATATATATATATATATATATTCCTCTATTTAAACATCAATTTCATATATCATATAAAATTATTCATTTTTTTATTTCTAAAATTTTAAAAAATTTATTTAATTGACTCTATTTGCTCATAGTCCAAAAAAAAAAGTAATTAAATCAAATTAAATAAAAAAAAGTAATTTTAAAAAAATGTGTTTAATTTAATTACTTGCTTTAAAATATTAGTGTTGTTTAATCAAGTCCCTTCATTATCTTACTTATCACGTGGTCACGACATGTCTACATAACATATATAACTCAATGGTAGATGGTTGCTCTCACAAAATTGACCCATGATGGAATCCGGTCACTATCCCGAGTTAAGAAAAGCTTAGCATTGTTTGTAATATATATATATATATATATATATATATATATATATTATAAATGCAATATTATGATATATCTTAAATTAAGTTAACAATAATTTTTTATATTTTTACTTTATGAATCAACTTTCTTTAAAAAATATCTTATCTTATAATAATGACTTATTTAAATGTTTATTTAATATATTTTTTAAATGATATTTTGTAATATGAATTTGATCATAAAATATATATTTAAATTACTAAAAAAAACTTCACAAAATATAAATTATTTTAAAAATTTTCGTAAATTCTTATAAACAAAGTCTAGTATTAAAATAAGGATTCCTTTCAATAGGAATTTTTTTTCCACTTATACTCGAGAGAAAACACAAGAGAATGTGCTTAACGGAGCTCTAGAGTTCCTTCTGCTCAAATCATAAGTATAAGTCATTCAATTAGAAGAAAAATAAATATATTAATCAATCATATATTATGAATAATGTTTTTAAAAACATATTTTCTTAAAAAATGTAGGTTGCAAGGAAAAATTACAAAATTAAACACGTTTAAATATAGTTTTTGTTATAATATGCATACAATTATAAGGATTTAAAAAAAATTAATGAGGCGATGCGTTAGAAAAAGAAACATGAAAAAAGAAAAATGTATTAAAATTTACTTTTGCAATAACTAACTCAACGATGAAAGAAGAAGGAGCTGAAGTAGATGGCTAAAGCTGAGGGTCACAGACTATCTAGTACATAACGACATATAATTGCCGTCTTTCACTCTTTTGTTGTTGCACATGACAATAATTTAACTCATTAAATAAGCTTTGAAATTACAAAATGGTAGGCAGTACCTTCCGCTCCTTTTAGATCCACATTTAAACGTCATTACATTAGAAGTTTTGAATTATTGGGATTTAGTTAACGCATAAGTTCCTCTATAATTTTTTTTATTAAAATTACTTAATCTTTTCTTACTTTATTCTTTATTAATAGTTTTTTAATAGTTAAACTACTTAACTAATATAATTAAATACTTTATTTACTGTACTTGATTTTTTTTATATAAATAAAAAATGACATTACTATTATTCTCAATTTCTATATAAATAAATAATTATTTTTTAAAGAATAAATTGAAATGAAGATAAAATATAATAATATTATGATAAGCAGGTAACGCATTTATATTCCCTTTTAACAATAATCGCTTTGACGAGACTTTGGAATTTGGAGTTCAAATGTACGGTTGTAAGACCGATATTAATACAATAATTAGAGATGGCAATGGGTAAAGTACTCGATGGACACTCACAAAATTTATCCACAATGGGTAGGGTATTTACTCGCTATACGGGTACGGGTGTGGGTAAAAATCGGCAAATTTTAATGGGGATGGGTGCGGGTATGGGTATCTAAGTACTCACCCCGCCCCATACCCGTATATATATATATATATATATATATGTGCTTGAACTTTATTCTACAATTATGAATTGAATTTTTGTATTATTATATTACTTATGTGAAGTTATATAAGATTAATATAAAAATATATTTAATAATAAAGTAAACCAAAAAATTTATTTTGGTTTATATTTTTAATAGAAAAATTTATTTACTATTTTATATCATTTAATTAGGCTAACACAATTTAATTATTACATAGTTAATATGAGATTGACTTTTTTTTTAAATATTATTTATATATGACACACATAAAATATTTTTTACACAAATATTTTTGTTAATAAAATCATATTGATGTTTAAATCATAAAGTGAATGATAAATAATAAATATATTATAAATATTTTATAAATTTTACAATCACCTACTATTACCGAAAACTTATTATTTATTAATAATATTTAAATTTTAATTTAAAATAATATTTTTCTATACAACATATGTATTACAAGGACAACTATAATCTATTGAATCTAAATAATATTATTCTTACTATTTATTCACATTCAAATAAGTTTTTGAAAAAATATAAATATAAAAAATTATTGTTAATTTTTATTTGTTAATTTTTTTAAGATAAAAAAGTATAATTTTTTTAATATACACGTATATTTCTTTATTATAAAATTTTATTGTAACTATTTATCTTTTATTTAAATTCTTTTTTTTAAATTTATATACATTATAAATATTTAATTCACTAAAATAATTTTTCAAAAATTTATATTTTTGATAAAATACTTTCCTATAGTATATGAGTTAAAAAATACTAGTATTAATATATATATATATATATATATTAATTATATTATATTATTTTAATTAAATCTATTATTTTTCTTACAATTTCAAATTCAAAAGTTAAAAAAAATATTTTATGTATCAACTTTCTATTGTTAGTATTGAACTTCTCTACTCTAACTCTATTCT